GAGTATGTGAGGCACTTCCACAGAGTATCTGAAAAGAACCTGTAATGACTACCAAATATAATTTTAAATCAGGAATTTTTCAATTTAAAAGAAAGCTTATACTTTAAGAACTTGGTCCTAGAAAATTTTCTAGGATTTAAAATACATTAATTTATACACTTCCAAAGATCCAAATTCAGTTAGAAAAGAAAGATTAATTTAAACTATCAGCTAATTCTGTATCTAGATTATTAAAATAAATACAGTAATACTTTAAATTAAAAATTATGAAGCAACTATTGAAAGTCAATTGACAACATTCTTTATTCTCAATTTATAGGGTTTAGGAATAGATAAAATGCTCCATGTTCATGGTAGAGTGTGCAGGCTGAAAAAGATTGGTAACCACTGATATAAGCTCACTATTGCCTTCTTTAAACAATTTTTCAGATACTTCTGTATAGGATAAACATATTGAAATATATCAAATATATATTATATAGTTTAAAAAATTCAATATGTAAGAATTAAAAGGAATAATAATAAAACTAATATATTTAATTGAAATTTTATTTTGGAATATGTTATGATATCCTCATGTATCAATTAAAAATTATAGAAATGGTATGTATTAATAGATCCTCAATTATTCAAGACTAGTTTTAAATTGAGTTCAATTAAACTTAAACAAGATATCAAAAAATAATGTCAATAATAATATAGAATGTAGAAACAACTATATAAAAAAACAATAAAATATTTGATACAGAATGTTCACTCATTAAATTTGTACATGGTACATGGCATGTTGATTATAAGAAATCACATTAATGTAAAATGAATAGATTAAATCTATGTTATACATTTTTCTAAATTTTTCAAATTTATACATGGTTTTTATACTTTAGAGATAGGTTAATTGGAAAATTGTTTTCCAAGATGATTTTTATCAACTTATTTTAAAAAATAAAATTCCAGTTAGACACGTATATGATGTTTTCAGAAAACAGTTTAATTATCATCTATTATTCTAAAGTAGTGATTCTCATAGATCACTTAATTTGAGTAACAGATGTGACAGCACCTTTACTTTCATTCACTTCTCATTCCATAAAAAAATCATTTTAGGTGCATGCCAAAAAATTATATAAGCAGAATATGACATCAAAAATAATTAGTGCATAAAAATATACTTTTCTCTGGCTAAACAGAGAATTATATTTTAGAAAAAACACTAGGTCAGTCTGTGAACTATCTACATGCTTACAAACCATCAGTTGTCCATGAACCATACTTTGGGAATCACTGCTACAAACTACTCTATAAAGTTAGCCTGTCAATTTAATGATTGCAAACAATATTTCTACAATTAATCATTATTCTACTATCATTATTTAAAATCTGGAGTTAAGAAATAAATTGCAACTAATAAATCTAATTAATTAGTCATCTAAACTGCAGCTTTGTAATATTCAGTAACAATCAGATGACTAAAAAATACAGAAAAACTTTCAAGGCAATATGGAGTAATTCAAATTAAATTAATTTTTTTTATAATTATTAAGATAAAACATCAAAATTAGCAATGATGCAATATTTAGAATTTATTATATACATTTTTATAGTACATCTACTTTTCTCAAAGGCATAAGGCACAAATGTGATAAACCTCATCATTTTCATCTTCTTCACTAGCTCATGAAAAATACATCCATTGGTATTACACTGCATATCAAACCTTCTGTTGAATCAGAATACAAATATACATAGTGAAGACATTCAGATGCTTTAACTAATGCAGGCCTCCTTTTCTTCTTTGTTTTATCCTTTTGCAAGTTGACTATCCTTCCTCTTTTGCTTTGTCTCTTAAGTTTGTCTTCTCTTAAACCTTTTTTTCCTTTCTTCATTAAGATGGGGTACCAAACAAGAGACATGAAGCAACCTCATTTTGCTCCACATGACTCTTCCCATCTTATCCCAATATGCCATTTTGAAGTCTTTTTTTTTAAACTCCTTGGTAATAAATTGTATTAATAAAAGATGTCATACAGTCACATAAAGCTGAAAAAATTCTATATTAGAATTCTTTTTTAATTTTTTAAAAAACTTAACTGCATTTAACTGTACCACATCAGGATGAATATATAAAAAGGAAGCAACTCACAATAACCAATTAACTGGAGTGCAAAAGATTGATATTTGCAAACATTTTTGAAGCCCCTTCTGGGCTCTTCCTGAAGCTTATTTTTTTATTTATTCAAACAAGCTGGCCATTAAAAACTTTGCATTACTTACATACAAATGTTTTAAAAATATAACAAATTATACCAACATGGCTGTCAAACACTTTGTTGTTTTCATAGGTAAAAAACACTTAACAGCAGCAATTTTACCATCATCTATTTCCAGTATGCAGATTTATTTGCAATATTTACTACTAAGAAGTTACAACACTTATTAAGCACAATGCAGACTATACTATCTTGCCTTGCCTTCCCTTACAACTAATTGCTTTAATGTAAATATATTTTGTGTTTAAAAGCATTTGATTTTATCAATTAAGTAAATACATTTATTAAGGATAAGGAATATGAATATCTACAAAGGCCTGTGAAACATTTTGTCTGAGCTTAATTAACTCATACAGCCAGGGCTGTGGAATCGCGTAAAATCTACCGACTCCAACTCCAACTTTTCCTTACCATCCGACTCCGACTCCATTTCATATACATAACAAGTTGGTAAGTAAAAAGAGAGTCGGAGTCGGTGGATTTTTTGACGACTCCGACTCCAGCCAAAACTCCACGACTCCGACTCCACAGCCCTGCATACAACTTACATTATATAAACTGTGCATATTTTAAGTTAATGTATTCTCCTCTATATAAATAATATTCAAAACATCTAACTATAGATGAAATATATTTTGAATATGTTAATAAATTTTACATCTGAATAAACCTATTGAATTTTTTTCTATCTACCCAAGTCACTAGATCTGACAATTGATTCCCATTTCAGAGAATTTGTGACGTACAATTGTCTCCTTAATGGAACATTCAGGATTGTCTTAATATAAATTTAAAACAGTGTACTTATCAAATTTTGGCACATGATAAATAACAGAACTTTTGAAACACTAAATACACACTTTTTTGGCATAACCAGATAATTTTTTTATAGCAAAGATATTTTAACAAGTATACATCCCAATTTCCTACCAATTTGATTAATAATTACATATTTATTGGAAATGAAGAACAAAGCAATATATCTAGCTTCAAGGATGTACAGAAGAGAAACCTTTAATCACGATCCAATCTCAATACTATTTTCTTTGTATTCCTGATGATTTTCTCCTCAATTCTTTGTTATATATACTTATATTACAATGTATGTTACCTAAATAAACAAATATTTTAGAAATTTAATGATACATTACAAAAAAGATACTAAGAGATAATTTATTTAAGAAGTCTGTTTTAAAGATAAAGATTTGAGTATCAAGATCTGAGGTAAAGATTATTTAAAAACTACATCCAGCTCAGCAATTCATTTTGATAAGAATTCGAATTAGTTCATGCACCATTTTGTAACATGCTATCTGTAAAACTGTTATTATATAATTATAAGCATGCATGCACGCACATGCAGAAAGAGAGAAAGTTTTTAAAAATAAAAATATTTTACGTTCAGTAACTAAATTGTATTTGAGTACTTTATAAAACTCTACTATACTGTGTTTATAATCTATCATGATAAGGTAGTCTCTTAAAATAAAATTATTCTAAATATTATAATGCTGGCATTATAATATTTAGAATAAAGGAAATAGGAAATCTTTTCCTTTCTTTATTTTTTTAATAAGGAATCAGATATCTTGTATATAGAAAAAGTTATTACATTTAGTTTTATGTTTTTGACTTCATTTCTAACAGTTTTCATATCTATTTTTGAGTTCATCTTTAATTATTTCTAAATAAACCAAGAATAAATTTCTGATTTCTAAAAATCAAAACCAAAACATGAGTAATCCAATGAAAGATAAGCAAAAATTCCAACCAACCTCTAAAAAGTGGAGTATTCCAAATATTCTAGAATCTTCATATAATGTAAAGGAAAATTAGGAGCCAGCTCATTGTACAAGAACTGATACAGCTTGCTTTAAATTGATTCAAATGCATTATTGATTACTGCTTTTAAAAAATTATATATTTATAAAATATTTTAAAAATAAAATTACACCAAGCTTATGAAATTAAAATAAAAGTAATATTAAAAATATTAGAATATTTCTTGCTTTACAATAACAGACAAGACAAGCAATCCCTACAGTAAAATTGTGGAGATATAAAAATAATATTTAAATATCAAAATAATAAAATTTTGTCATCATAACTGAAATATAACAAGAAACTAATTTTAGCACAATGTCTGGACATCTTGAAAATTCAAACACTTTGAAGTCAAAGATCAAGGTTTTATTATATAATTTTAGCTAGCAGTTCAAATTTATTTCTAGTAAATTTATAAAATCATCTAAACTTTCATTAAAACTATGTATGCATCAATTTATCATCATTTAAATACTTCATGTTTATAGGATAAGATTTTACAAAAATCTTTTTAATAATATATAATAATAATTATTCTTTTTATTTATATCATTGTATTATCATTAATATTACTTAGACTTTGTTAACAATTTGTTTTATCAAAGAATCAAGTGAAACTTGGTATCAAATTCAAACGTTCAAAAATAAACAGTTAAGAAAACCAAAGTATTTATTACAAAAGAAATGCTTTCAGACTAATTTTAATTTTAGCCCTGCATCAGTTCACCAAGTAAATCAACAGTTGTATCTATGTTCTATTTGGAGAACTAATCTGGACAAAACTAGTCCAAAAACAATTATTTTTGTAATTTGTTCTAATAATTATTAACGAATAAAAATACATTTAGATAAAACTTATTTTAAAAAAACCAGAGAAATTGATGTAAAAAAATTCAAATTACTAACCAAAAGTTTACACAATGAATATTCCATGATGTATCTGTGAAGATAATTTGTATTGATTTTGATAAATGAAAATCAAGAAATATTTCTCTCAGTGTATGACCTACTTTTAGTCAACTGGAAGAAATTGAAATTATCCAGAAACATATTCATGACCCCAGGTGGATCATAAACCACTGATTGAGAAATGTAGAAATTGAGTATTTGAATGCAACTTCCTGTTTACAAACACAAGTAAATCTGATACCTTCTATTATGATTAATGAGCATTCCAGAAAATGTTAAATGTTTATGATTATAAAAACTTAATATACTCTATCAAAAATTATTTCTAGTTTTAAATGAAATGAATTTTTACAATTATCACATCAATAATCACAAAATTACCTTTTTATTTTACATATATATGTGATCTTTTGCTACAAATTCAAGTCTTCTGATGAGTTTAAAACTTTGATTTAAATTTGGTTATCTAAAAATAGGCTGAATTGCACTTTTATACTCCTAAAAGTTCTGCCATTATACTTTATATTATCAAATTTAATATTTTAATTCTTCCAATTTTTACTTTGATTATACTTATTGTTTTCTTATTAATCGTGAATGTTAAGAATAAAGTCATTAAATCATTTAAATATTTGTCAACTCCCTCCAACAAATTATCCCTATAAATATTTAATTTATAAACCTAATTATGTTTAGCTGTAACACTATACTGGGTAATTGTATAGTTACTAATTTAACAATGTTCTTCATATTAATTTACACTGAGTTATTGAACTAAGTTAATAACTACAACATAAAAATATGAAAGCTATAGTTTTTGGATATAGTGTATGTCTCTCATTGTTTAAACTGATTCTACGTAGTCTGTGATATAACAATTTACTAGATATATTATAAATGTTGAAATATATATATATACAGTAGAACCTCGATTATCCGCCCCCCGATCAACCGACCCCTCGGTTAACCGACTGTCCTAGTCGGCAAATTTCAAATGTCCGCTAGTGATGTGGCGCTACAATAGCGACGATTATTATTTTAAAAAATTTTTGTTAGGCTTAACATCAATGAAAATTCAACGCAAAATAGGTTAATAGCGATATACTAATATACTAATTACATGGGATATAATAATATACTACACTAATAATGGATTTTTTCATACTTTTCAGTTATCCGACTTTTCAATTATCCGACCAACCCCAGTCCCCAATTAGGGCGGATAATCGAGGTTCTACTGTATATCTACTTACTATCTTTGATAGAAAAAAAAAACAAACAAAAATGGCACTTAACATTGAAAGCTACATTACTCGTGATATAATACAATCACCAGAAAGATAAAATAATGGCCAATTCTGTCTTTAAATTTAGTTTATAAACTTAAGTTATATTAATAAACATGTAACTTATATAACATTGCCTACAAAAATTACTATAGTAATGCAGTTAATGTAAATGGGAGTTATGTTTAATAATATAATACAAAATAGGTTTAAATAATAATAATAATAAATATTTTTATCTGAAATGAATTCTTATGGATTTTTAAAACATTGAATTTATTTAAAATTATTACGTAATAACAAGCCAAAGAATAGACTCAAAATAAAATTCAATATAATTTATGCATTTTCATATTTAATATAATAAAATTTATATAGGAATTTTAAAAGAAGAAATTTGAAAATTTCTACTTGGAAACTTTGTGAACAGAATAATATAAACTATAGAAATGGAAATTATGTCTTACCTTAAACTAGAAAGTCAAATGAAACTTTAAAATTATCATTGGAAACTAAGAAAAGAAACTTTTAATATAAATTATAGCTAAATTATACTCTTCTGAATACTAAAGCACATGATATTGATTAAAACCTATTTATGGTACACAGAAATCTATAATCTTTTGTGAAACGTAAATTACATCAAGAGTGTTTTACATTTAATGAGACTATGTATATTATTATCTAACATGAGTCAGTAACTATTGATTTTTGAAATTATTCAAATTCCAAGATTTTCTTGTTACTTGAAAGCATGTATAAAAATATAATTTGTTTAAGTTCATAAAGAAAGTTCCATGCTTAATTAATAGTCTAATAAATTGTAAATCCCTTTACTTTTAAATATATTCAATAAGAGAATTTATTCTATTTATATTATTAATAATGCTTTTATTGTATGTTCAGTCTGAACATACAAGAAGAACATATAATATAATATATTTTAATACAAAAAGTTAACATTAAAAAGCTGAATTTATACAGTTTATTGCAGCAACAAAAATTTAAAAAATTTATCAGTTTATACTCTATTTAAATCAAGAAAATAATCCATACTCAATGTCTGCAAATCTATATTGATTATTACATTATTAATTTTATCTATCATATTTTTTATGATTGTAAGAGGAGTTTACACAAAATTGCAATAATTTTTCATAAATTTATAAAAGCAAAATGCAATTTGATCATTAATAACTAAATAATAGTTATCATTTTGTAACATATTACCCAAATGAAGAGACTGATAATTGATAATATAATAAAAATTTCATACATTAATAGATAATTCAATCAAGTTTAAAGCATTAATTATTCTATTTGCTGATACAGCAATTCATATTTTTAGAAATGTATTATTTTTGTTTTGAAGGTGGGATGTAAACCATCATGAATTCTACACTTTATACTTATGCCAATTTGAATTAACACCTATAAAATTATGTATTCATTGAATTTAAACATCTAAAACCTAACTAATTATCTATATAATTTAATAATATAATTAATTAACTATAGATGTTATTTGAATAAAGAAGGATGATTTAATAACTAAATAATGCATGAAAACCATTTATATCATGAAAATTAGCAGTATGTTCAGTTAATAATCTAGATTATTAGCTTAACAGATCTCAATTTTAATCAAAACGTAATTGTTAATTTAATCAACAATTACTAATTTACAGTTATTAAAATGTAATTATTCTAAGTAAAAATAAATCAATAAATTCATTTTCTCATTTTATATATATATATATAATGATCAAGTTAATGAAGTACATAATAAAGGTTATAACACTGAAATACGTTTTATAATAATAATTTCATACAATAAAATTAATGCGAGTAAAAATGAAAATATCACATTTTTACTAAAAAAAAAAAATTCAATGTTTATTAATTTTAATAGGATGTAGACTACAAAATATCAAATTTATTCAATTCACTAACTAACTTATTAGATGAAAGAGAGTAACTTTTAATTGTTAGAGTAATTTTAATAATTCATACTTGGCATAAAAAAATGTAGACAGGGGGAAAAAAACCTGTTAACTTGATAACACAATATTCTTTAAAATATTAGAATAAAATTTATAAGTAATCACAAACGAACTTTCAGAAAATTTATTTACTTACGAAAGGATTAACTGTCTCTGCCAGTAAAAGAAGGCAATTTACATCTACTAAGCTGCTACTAATCCTTTGGAAAAATCAAATATTCTTTAAGTAAAATAAAAATGCTCAAAGAAACCTGAAAAATAATCTATCTCTCCACATCTAGCAAACAATTTTTTCTTTTTTTGACAGAATAAATTAAATTTTGTATGAAAAATTATAATTTTTTGTAGACAACAATTTCATAGTTTATTTATTAAATTAATAAATCTGTAATATGTAATTATTTATAACTAAATATAACATAAAATATAAATTACACAAGATTAAGTTAGCCAACAATTATGAGGAAAAATATGCAACAGTAGCAAAATATCAACTTTAGATTTTCTAAGTTTTTGAATCATAACAATTAGATAATAATATATACATAAACATATTTATTAATTTAATTAATAATAAAACTGTATTTAGAAATAAAAAAAAGAAAATTATTTCAATATAATATTCATCAATGTAACAAATAATTTCTTAAATATAAAAAAACTTAGAAAAAAATAAACATTTATCTTACTTTATCAATAAATACAAATAAGTTTATTATCCATTTTCCTTATCATAGATAACTGATCTTTTTTTCTAATTTTATATTATTAAAATCTAGGAAGTTATATTGATAACCAGAATGGCACTTATGATTTTGTCTAAGAAAATTTTTAATAAAATAAAAAAGAAAATATCTCAAAAGCTATAAACCTATTTATAAACTTTACATTGCAAAGAATTTCCAAATAATATTCTGTCTTTGTTCAGTGTTCAGCCACAGATTGAACCAACCTTGCATTAATGCATTGGAGTCTTTAGATGCAATGATGATGATGATAACTGAGGTGTGCACACACAAGTGACTAATGTTATTTTAAGGGTTATAGTTTCATTTCTAACTCTAGGCCTATTCTATTATAGTGATAAATACTCCAAACAGGGACAAAAACTGTATAATGATTTAGATGAAGAGAGAGAGAGAGAGAGAGAGAGAGAGAGAAGGAATTCAACATAGTAAAAAAGTATAGAAAAAAACAGCAAACATACCTTTGTGTCACACTGAACAAGGGTGAATGTTCCTCCTAACAAATTCTAATTTTCTAATGCAATTTAAAGTAACATTTAGATTTTAAAGTATAAAATTCTTAAATTTATTTTAAGTCTGAAATCTAAGGAAAAAATTAATCTTTATCATATATAAGAATCACTTTTACACAGTTTGCATTAGTTAAATCTATGAATTTTAATAAATATAAAATTGAAATGAAACTTGTTAGTATCAAATATTTAAGTATCTTTCTAAGTATTCATTAACAAAGACCAAACAATTTTTGTTGAATTTATTTTAAATGCTTCAATAACATGAGATATTCTTTTATACATATATAAAAAGGAAAGAATTTTAATGCATCAATCTACATATAGTAAAAGTTATAGTGTTTTTTTTATTTTAAATTTACAAACAAATACAGTTACTTATAAAATAATCAATAAAGTTATTTATTAATTATTTTATAATCAATAAATAACTTTATTTATTATAAAATAAAATAAAATTATTTATTTGGCTATATTAAGGCTAATTAATAAATTAATAATTAGATACAAAGCAATTTATGTTATTTTTCTTATTTGAAAGCTAAATTAACATCAGTATAAATCTATGAAGAATATAAAATATTTAAAAATTATATAGAAAAATGTATCTGAATGTATTCATATATAATATACATAATTACCACTTTGTGTTAGCATCAATATTTTTCTTCTGTAATTTTATCAATAGCATAAGTTCATTAATATATCAATGGAAACTACTGATATAGCAGTTACAAGTATGCAAGCTTTAATTTTTAATACAAAAATCAGTTTAATAAATAATTTTGCAGTAATCAGACAATACTTCTCACAACTTGTCTAAAAAATATCTATATATCACCTAATTTAATAAGAGATTCAAAGGATCATCAGCATACCATATACAATTTATGAGAGATAATTGACATAATCCACAATTAACTAGCTTATTTCATATTCCAATTTCAAATACACAATAGTAGCTAAACTGATAACTAATTATCAAATGTAGTGACTATTTACATTTAAAATATTTTCAGCACCACTTAGGTACTAAAAAATTAATTATACATGGAATTTTTAACATTGCAACTTTGTTATTACTGTAATTCTTACACTAGTATGCAGCACGTTAGAGAGTAACCATATACCTAAAAGAATCTCAAAATTTCATTTCGAAAATTTAAAATGAAGAATTCAAAGAATAAAAATTCTTTCAGATAGAATTAAATAAACAGTTGTTTATTGAATTTCTATCACAGTTTTGTATAAAAGCAAATCAGAGTCAAAATTATGATAATTATAAATATATAATAAAAATACCAAATGTAAAATAACTATTAAGAAAACCTCTTTTAAGTAGAAAATTGGATATTCCTCAAATCACCTTTTATCAATAATAACCACAAAGAAAATTGTCTCGTATATAACAGCACTCTAATGCATCAAGCACATAAAATGCCACTTAAGCAACATCTAATCAGTCAAACAATTAAGAATTTTAATCGGTTGCCTCTTCTATAATCACTGAAACAACATAAATAAAAAATTAATAAAAAAAATAAATACATTTAAGCCATTTAACATAATACGCATCAATATATACAGAAGAAACTGGATGAGAGTACTATATATAGTATCAAAAACAACCAGAAATCCAGTGCAAAAAAGAAAATTTAATATATAAATGAGCATTTTATGCAATATTTAATAGTCATCTTTAGGTTGAAGAATGGAACATAGAATATAACATGAATTTAAAAATTACAGAACTCATTAATTCAAGCGTGCGCAGATCAGTAGCATTTGTATGTTAAATTTTATGTTCAATGTTCCATTCTCCAACCCGAAGATGCCCGTTAATCAAAAATGTTCGTTTATGTAATAAATTTTCCTCTCGTACTACATTTCTGATGTTATATATGGCATTTAGAATATATTTTAAAGCAAATTCTTCTGTAACCTATACAAAAAAAATATTGAAAATTTATGAATATTTAATAATACACATAATAAAGGTTATAACACTGAAATACGTTTTATAATAATAATTTCATACAATAAAATTAATGCGAGTAAAAATGAAAATATCACATTTTTACTAAAAAAAAAAAATTCAATGTTTATTAATTTTAATAGGATGTAGACTACAAAATATCAAATTTATTCAATTCACTAACTAACTTATTAGATGAAAGAGAGTAACTTTTAATTGTTAGAGTAATTTTAATAATTCATACTTGGCATAAAAAAATGTAGACAGGGGGAAAAAAACCTGTTAACTTGATAACACAATATTCTTTAAAATATTAGAATAAAATTTATAAGTAATCACAAACGAACTTTCAGAAAATTTATTTACTTACGAAAGGATTAACTGTCTCTGCCAGTAAAAGAAGGCAATTTACATCTACTAAGCTGCTACTAATCCTTTGGAAAAATCAAATATTCTTTAAGTAAAATAAAAATGCTCAAAGAAACCTGAAAAATAATCTATCTCTCCACATCTAGCAAACAATTTTTTCTTTTTTTGACAGAATAAATTAAATTTTGTATGAAAAATTATAATTTTTTGTAGACAACAATTTCATAGTTTATTTATTAAATTAATAAATCTGTAATATGTAATTATTTATAACTAAATATAACATAANTACAGATACATTTAAAAATTTTAACAATTCGAAGTAAATTTCTTGCAATATAACTGCATTTCTACAAGAAGAAAAAAAGTAAGTGATTATAATCAAGAATAAACAAAAATGCATCTCAATATAATACTATGGTTGTGTTATTGATCAATGTAATGTTTATCATTTTGTATATACACACGAATAATATGTCAATGTGTAAGTGTAGAATGTTAGAATTTATAATGTTAAATCAATTGGTTAATTCTTTGTTCTGTGAGTGAATTCCTTCCAACCTGTGGACGCCATTTTGGAAAAGGACATCTATGATTATAAACAGAATGAAACGCTGTCGTTTGAATGACTTAATATTTATAATTGCTACTTACCCGGTTGGATAAGCTGGATCGTAAATTTCCGTCATTATAGCAAATAAATGATCGAAATTTACTTCAAATAATAAATTTAATTTACTACATTTAACTCTATGGCAATTTTCAATATTATTCTTCGAACTCTACTTATTACCGGATGGCGTCAACACGAGTTGCTGGGCGGCCTCTTTAGCGCTCTACCAACATCGACGCAATCTACAACATAAACCACCCTAATTCGAATGCCGTTTCTATTATATTCAATGGATGTTATTAAGAAATTTCAGTTTCGTCTTTTAATTTTTATAATGTTATATTAATATTTATACTTATTCGATAGTAATAAATAAATATCCTAGAAAATTTTCTGTGGTAGTAATTAATTTAAAAAAATATTATTTTGCTTCGGTGATTTGTCGTCTGCCATTTCATGGAACTGGTAAGGTTTTAGCGCTTTCTCTTAGAATTTTTATTGATATTAAGTTTAAAAATTAAGTAAATCTTGAGATATTTTTTATATATTCTTCGGTGATAATCGTTATTTTATTATGAGAAATGGTTTTAAATAGTTTAATGAGTTTAGGAAATATTATGGATGTTGCATGCAATTTAATACAAATTGCATGCAACATCCATAATATTCTATACAAATTTGTTTTTCTATTAAGGTAATCATTTTCATTTCTTACACAAATATGTTTTTGTAATCTTTAAAAGGTTTTATACCCTTTAAGGTTTCCGTCAGAAACAGTTATTGTATTATTGAACAATAAAGAAACACTAACAACAGTTAGTGTTTCTTTATTGTTAGATAGAGTCTAATTTCATTTCTTTATAGCAGAGGTGCTCATAGTCATAGACGGGGCACAAATATTTTGTACATTCCATGTAGACCTATACAAAGATAGGGCCATTTCTATCATTTATAAGTGATGTATTAACATGAGTGTCTACATAGGGGGACGAACGACACACTTTACTTTCCCTGGTATCAAGTAAAATATTTCACAAATTATAATTGTAAAAGTGATTGAGATATGTAACCTTATACCCTCGGCCATGGAACGCTTTGATACAATACTGTATTCTATAATATACTTTTGAAAAAGAAATTAAATAATTAAATAAAAATTTATTGACGTAATTGGTTGTCTTTAAGCTTTTTCTCCTGGAAAATCTTATGCGGACGCCTGTGTGTGTGTCAACATTGTTTGCCTGTTTGTATACATAGTTTGTACATCACTGGTTTATAGTAACTACAGTGGAACTTCGGTATACGACCTTAATCCGTTCCTGATGTTTGGACTTATACCGAATAGGACGTATACCAAACCAACCTTTCCCATAAGAAGTAATGTAAAAATGATTAATCCGTTCTCACGTAAAAAAAAATGGCTGGCTTTAAACACCTCGCTTTCCTGCTTGATTTTTCATGAGATCAGCATGTATCTTTTTAGCTTTCTCGCAAATAATTGCTTCTGATACCTGTCACCAGCACATTGTTTTTCAGTTATCCAAAGCAAAAGCATTTTCTCAACATGATCTAATGTTTTCGATCTCTGTTTAGAAATTGATTTAACCCCTTTCGCAACGTTAGCAGATTTAATAATGTATTTATTTTTCTAGATTGTCGATATCGTCGTTCTCGGAATACGATATGCAACAGTTAAAATCTCGAACACGCGTGCCACCTTCGTATTTCTCAACAATCTCTTTTTTCAGTTCCATTGTGATTCTAGTAATTTTTTTTAGTTTTCTGTTGCTTTTCATTTGCCTTTTTGCAATTCACGATTAATAAAAATAATAAAATTTTACTTACAAATTAAAATCAGAAGAAATTTAACAAAGTTATAAACAGCGGGCCACGGACGTCTAGTCTGGTGTAGTACACCGATAGTGCTACTTGTTCATAGATGGCGCATATAATTGAATTAAGTCGTATACCGAACAAAAGTCGTATACTGAGCAAAATTTGTTTCGTCCAAACAGGACGTATTCCGAATTGGACGTATTCTAAATCAGACGTATACCGAGGTACCACTGTATTAAGAAAGGGTAGAGGAAACAAAGCAAACGTATCAATGAATTTCTTTAAAAAGTACAATTTTATTTACGCTATTTATTAAACATTCTATAAATGGTAATCTCTGCTGAATTTCCAAATTTATGCCCTTTCTAAGAAAAATGTCGAGGAAGCTTTTACAAAGTGCAAATTTTTAAAAACTATAGACAAAAAAAAGGGGGCCATTTTACTTCAATTTCTTATTATTCAAAGAAAATGACTCTGATTTAAGGTTTGATATTGTTATATATATATACATACACACTATATATAACTGGAGAACACCAGGATTGTACAAATAATAAAAGACAACAGGATTATGGCCGAAACATGATCCTAAGGAAGTTATCACATAATCATGCTTCCATTCTGTCAGCAGAAGTGGTCATATGACCTATAGATTATGTCATAACACAAATTTGGCACCGAAAATATTATGAAGGAACACGTTTCGGATTATGCACCGTTTAACTATTTTGGTCGAACGAATCTGGTCACTAGAAACTGTAATCTTACACTTTATCGTTTGCTTTAAATTTTCATGTTTAATTAATAATAAAATAAAATATTTTATAAATAATTAAACAATTTTCTTTTAAAAACATATACTATATATTATACATTGCTGACCAAGTAAAATGCAACACCATGATGGATTATAGATATTGCACAGCGTTGCATTTTGCTTGGTCTGCAGTGTAAATAAAATAAAATTATGTTAATTTAATGTATAAATTAATTTTTAATCGCTTACAATATAATTTGTTAATTAATATAAGACAGAACACTAAGCTAAACAATCTGAAGAGAGTAAATAATATAAATTTAAACACGAAAGTTTTACTCAGATGTTTTTTACAATATACTACCGGTATTTATTGAATTTTTAGAAGTCTGATAAGCTAATATTACGATCTATATATTCAAAACGTAAAACATAAATTTTATACTTAACAAACCAGTGAAACCAGTATATTTGGAAAGGAGAAACACGCGATTTTGATACCGAAATTTATGAAAATCAAACGACAACAACAACAACAACATTAAGCTAAAAATAAATAAATAAAATCTAGGTACATACCGGAATAATAAATCAATGAAAGGTATATTTTCAACGATGACCATTCTCGAAATTCTCTTTCAGCTTTTATAAAAGAAGAAAATTCCGTGTTTTAGGTCATGAAACAAGTCTGAGAGTGAAGGAATCGTAGAGTGAACTGACAAATCCAGTGTCGGAACTGAATTACTGCAATGCCGTAGGTGAAGTAAAGTGAATTTTCTTTTATTTCGCTTTTGTCTTAGGGTTATAGACTAAGTCATTAGTTAAGAAGGTTGGGCCACATTAGCCACGTGCAGCACTTAGCTTAAATCTCAGAAAACCGTAGGAGGGGCTACAAAAAACATTTAGAAACGATCTAGGAGAAAGCTCGAGGTTTGGAATTGCTGCTAGAGAGTATTGTTGTATAGCTGACCAAAAGAGCCGCGACAGTAAAAATTTCTTTTGAGTGTAGTGTTAAGTGGAGACGCAACTGGTCTAAACAACAACTTTTCGAAGTAAAGTAATTTAACAAGGAAGGAAGAGTTTAAATTACTTTTAGTGTTGATTCAAAAATACCGCATTTCTTCACTAGAATAGGCATATTTTTTAAATTTATCATTAATTTTAAATCACCTAAAACTTTCGCTTGATACAAAAAATGAAAATTATATCTAACCCAGTCTTCTCTACAAAAAATTTACTGCCAATTAATATTAAAATAATTTATAAAATTAAATATGAAATAAATTTTTGAGTCACGTGAGAGAAGTATCAATTATTTTTTCTAGATTGGCTCTTACACGAACAGGATAAACTATTATAACTTTTTATATAGCCTACATTTATCAGAACAAACTGGAAATCGTTATATTGTTTATAAATTTGTATACATTTTAAAAATACAATTAAATTAAATTCCTGTATTAATTATACGTGGGCATAAGCATATGAATATGAAAGAAAGAAGACATACCCACCAATATTTTTGTAACAGCAAATTGACACCTCCCAATATATTTTTTATTTTAAACTAAGCTACAAAAATTATAAGTAGAAACTAGTAGTTTACACAACAAATACAGCTTATTTTTTATATCCATTCAAAACCTGACAATGAGAAATGTTTCTTACTCATATTCCTTCAATATTTTTATATAATTATACTTTTATAATTATACCTTTCCTCTATAAAAATTTTGGAATAACAGATAAAGCAGAATAATTTTATTTTCAATAACTAAAAATTCCCGAACAATTTAATTTCTTGTTAATAATAATATAATCGGGATATATAAATTCTTTAAAATGTTCTACTTTTATGAAATGTTATTGTTTAATAAATAGACTACTAAAACCGATTTTATTTATCAAACGGAATATTATATAAATAATTTATAAGCATGTTATTGTTAAGCAAATATATTAATAATTCTTAAATATTTAACCAAAAACAAAATCACGTCTTTATAAGATCTAAATAAGGCACCTACCTACATGCTATAGGACATTTAAATTGATTCTATCTATAATATTTCATGTTTTAATCAATCGCTAAAATCATTTGAATCAATAGAAGAAAAGTATGGCGATCGGTCAAAAAATGACCTCCCCAAGTTTTTACATTTTTGGACTCAGGTCCTTAATTAAAACGGCGAGTATTGGAAAAAAGTTGGTGTTTTTTTGCTGTATGTAGTTTTTTCCGGATATTAGTTTGTGTGGGGGGGACAATTTTTTCACCCACTTTCGAGCTTAATAACTCCTGCGCCTTTTATCGAATTTTTCTGAAATTTTGCAGGGAGGTTTATGTATATTGGGGTAATTGATGCAATTAAACTTTTGTGGTTAAAGTTTGAGAGGATGGGGAGATACACGGGTCACGTGTAATAACTCTAGTGGGATCAGACTTAATATTTTACTCGTTATTGGTATTTACAACACAGTATTTTATAAAACTCATTTTTATCTTCAAAGTTTTTAAAAATAAAATCTCATAACAGAAGCCAAAAAAAAAGTTAAAAATAACAATAAAACTGTCATATTTATCAATAGGTTACACTTCAGGCTATATTTAAGGTAGGTTGTATTTAGAAACAGTTATGTAATTGTAGTTATTCATATCTTATATAAATTATACTCATACGGTAAAGAGTTTGTTAATCCCACACAATATACTTCGTATGTTAAATAAGCAAGGACTTAAGATTTCAAAATATTTATTTAAAAAAATTAATGGACATCTTTTCATATACAGTATAAGCGTTAATTTTCCTGCTTCATACATAAATAAAGATACAGTATGAAGTAAACTGGATACTGTATTTAAATGCAAAAAAGAATTTGTCATACTGGAAAACCCATTACGTTACGAAATTAAATAATACGTTTTCAGAAATAAATAATTATAATTATTTTGTAAAACATTTTAGGTAAAAATATTTTAAATAATCATTATAAATCGACATTTAATGTATAAATTTACTACTTCATTTTAAAATAAAAAAAAAAACAGTTAAGTTAATATTAATTTTTACCATGATCTATAATTTTATAAACATTGAGAAAAGTTTTCATATTTTAATGACATTTTCTTCAACTTAAAGTTTTTACACACCTCTTCTTGCATGGTTTAAAATTCAATTTCCTTATAAATTATCACTTATTTATAGAACTACACATCTAAAAAAAAAACTATTACATATTTAAATAACCGCGTCATTATCGAAAAACATAATTAATTTTGATATATTTAATACGAAAAAAGTACATAGCGTGACATCACAAACGCAAAAAGTAGTTCAATTGTTGTGCGGAAGTGTATTTTTGATACTAAAGATACAGGAAATGCGACTATGCGTATTAAGCACGAGGTTTTTCTCTATTGTATTCATTGAATTTTTGTAATGTTTCCCTCTCACACACGACGGGGAGTGACACGTGCTGAACACGTTTTAACAAAGCGGAAGAATAACGTAACAGCGTGATTTAAATTATTACATGCATTAATTTTCTAATTTAAACTTTTAAACAGAAGGAAAAAAAACATTTAAAAGGGGGGTAGCAATTTGTTTTTTCTTGTTCTTAATCCCACTCGAGAATTTAATTAGTAAGTTACAAACTAGTTTGAGACCAGAATAATAGAGTATTGTTTAATAATCGAATGAAAAAGTCAAATTTCTTCATTTTCTAATTATTAAATAGCAGATCATCATTAAATATCCAGTCTGTCATTTCATGTACAGTACTTTAAATGTCATTTACCTGGTTAAATTTTGTAAATAATATAGACGTAGTCAATATAAATATAACTTTTAATATTTCATAAAAAATTTTTTTTATTAAACGAATTAAAAATATTTATAGACATAAAACAACATACCTGTAACATAACAGAAGTTTAAGTTAAATTTTACACGCCAGATGGCGCAAGTAATATTTTTTTTTTGCATACAATACTCTACAAACAATTCATTTTCTTTTAAATATTTAAAATAGTTAATTAACAATTTTTAAGGGTCTTTGCGGGTAGATGTAAATTTTCTGTATGGGTAATGTACAAAAATATTTTTATTTTACTATACAATATTTATAAAATTTATTACTATTATTGCGATTTATGAGTATATTAGTTCATTTTTATAAGGGTATAAGAAAATCCTCATTATAAATGGCTTTTTCTTTTCTTTGTCGTTTCGTTTTCTTCTCTGTAACTAGCTATACTGCTCCTAGAGCCATAGTGTTGCATTCTCATGCTCTTACCGGTTTCCTCGTCCGAACTGACATCCAGTGCGTTGTTAGTGTAACTTTCTAAGTTACCATTAGAAAACATTTGATCGATTCTTCTCACATTCGACCTTGTTCGATTACGTGAATTGAATTCATTTTTGGCACCAAGAGTTTGCATTTTCGATTGATTACCCAACACAGTGTTCCTTCTGACTTCTAGCGCTCTTAACGTTTCTTTTCTCCTATCTATTCTATTTAATGCACCGAGAACTGGTGTTGCTGAAATGAAATTTTGGATATTATTACATATTAAATTTATATAATTTATATTAAAACAATAATAACTGAAAACTGCAATTTAAATACTAAAAAGTTATTAAGAATTTTTTTAACATGTATATTAATACAGTAGATGATATGCCACATTTGTACTGTACATATAGTCTATAGCAGGGGTGTCCAACCCGCGGCCCGCGGGCCGCATGCGGCCCAAGGCAAGTTCCAATGCGGCCCAATAAAGGTGTAAACAAAACCGACAACTGTTTTAATTTTTTATTATTTATTTATTTCAACGGCATAAACTCAGAAAAGAAGTTTCACAAAGCTATAAACCTTTATTTATATTTTAGTTTTGAGTGGAAATTAAATATTTTCATGTACTTGGAGATGTGTGAATGAGAAAGGATTACTAAATAAAGCAGGAGTTGTGACTCAAAGCATTACAGATCCAAATTTGGTGAAAGGAAAGAAAGGACAAAAGCTAAAAAGTTCTCAGAAAGGTTAAATAGTTCTTCTGTTAGGTAAATATTGAGTCTTAATTTTCCAACCTTTCTCACTTCTTTATCTTTTGTCCTTTCTGTTCTTTTTCCGAATTTGGCTCTATAATCCTTTGAGTCAAAACTTTATTTAGTATTCCTTTTAGCGTTGCAAGATTTGGCTACATTGCGCCAAATGTGGCTACTTTTTTAGTTTAACGTAAAAAAATATCATTTAGCGCTTTGGCTACTTTTGGGGCTACATTTCATTTATAAATATATTAGTCGAATAAAAATGCGCTTTAAAATGGTGTTTCGTCACTTTTCATTAATCAGAGACTCAAATAAAGCAAATACTTGCGTTTTATCAAATAAATGAATTTATCTATTTCTAAGTAAAAATTGAAAGTGACTGTAGAAGTAATTTTTTAAAATATCCTATTTCGTGATAAAGTTTTAATACTTATTATTATAATCTAGACATGTTAATTTTTAAATATACTTGTATATTGAACCACAAGTATATATTATATATACTTGTGGCCCAAAACTCCTTGACTTCTTCCAATGCGGCCCAGAGAAACAAAAAGGTTGGACACCCCTGGTCTATAGCTAGAAGAATAAGAATTATCAAACATATACTCGTTTGTCCATACAGAAAAGATTATATTACAATATGTTACATGTATATTAACTTATACATAATTTACTGTACAATCTAGCATGCTAATATCAGACTTAGGAACGTCCCGATACTTCCGATGATATCGGTACCGTATCGATCCCTTCGATACCGAATACTTTTTGTACTCAATAATTATGGTCCTATACCGATACTTTTCCCAGGGTATCGGATCTGGTATCATTACATTTTTCACAGACAGGTAAGGTTCGATTAAAACCGGATTTTACAGCCGAATTAGAGACTAAAATGGAATTAAACACTATTTTCGGTTAAATTAAACTTAAAAAATATTAGGCCTAACTACAAAAAATCAATAAATGTATTATGTCAGACTTCATTTCCAGAATCTTATATATGCTTAGAGTTCTGATTACAATTTATAAATAAATATTTAGTTAAACATTATGCAATACTTTTGTTTGTTACCATCGGGATGTTTAAAATGAGTTAGAATAGGGCGACGCTGTACAGGTAGAGGGGGCGTACTTTTTTAGATTCTTCGGCCCCTGCGGCAAGTGTACTGTGTCTGTAAATCTTTACGTGTACAATAAATCACCTACTTGAATGTTTGAGTCTATGTTTCATTTGAAGGCACCAAATATCTTGCAAATTTGGCTAAAGAGCGCCTTTTTTTTTCTTTAACATCTTGAAACTTCTTGCTTATTTATGAGATTTATACAAGAAAAATCACTTTTATAATGTTAGGATGTAACTATGTTTACTTTCATGGTAATAATTTTTAACATATAAACTTATTCATACTTTTATAGGAACTTTATTGGATCTACATATCAATGCTCCGAGAAGATTTTCTTGAAAATTCTTTTATGAATTCTTAAATATTCATATAAAAATGTTGATAAAATCTGATTAATCAGCTTTAATAATCTAATCATAGATCTACACTTAAAATTTTTTGATAATTTGTTAAATTTAACGTCACGCTATCAGAGAATTTGAAGCTTTTTTGCATTTTCATTTATGTTTGATACATTACATGCAATATTTTTTGCTGTAGGCATCCATTAAAAATAAAAAATACACGACGCAAAATATTTCTAGTTTAAATTATTTTAAGGTAAATAAATATAGTATAGCTTTGCTATACTTCTCGTTATATTTTGTAACGAACAAATCAACTTACCTTCAACATCTGCTGCAGAAATATTCATAAACCTTTTCCTAAAGGCAACATCCAATGTTCCAATTCTGTTTTTCTGATGTCTTCTCTTTTCCAGATTGAAAATGGTTTTTCTTCTGGCCAATCTGTCACCAGTTCCTTTAGAATCGTCGCTTGTATCATCGTCGAAACCTCTCAATCTTTGTAGTTGTTTTGCTATTTGAACAGCATTCTTGTCGATGAAGGCATCATCAGTGACATCATCGGTTTTCTGATTACAACAAGTTAATTCTATAGATGCAAGAATGTGCGACAGGGTACCAAATCGATGAAACAACATAGCGACGAACTGTATCACAAGAATAAGAGCGAAGAAAACAGCAAAAACCAAACCAATAGGTTCCAGTTCTAAATACTCCTTTTCTATTCTTACTTCGCTGGTTTCAGGTATGTACGTTATGTTGGTTTTAACTCCTAGAGGCCAATCTAAATGCAATTGATCCTTATTCAGTTGTAAAAGAAATACTATCAAGATAAACAGCGCATTAAACATGAAAAACGCAAAGACCACTTTGTTTCTCAGTTCTTTCAATTCTGCAGCAACTCGTGCTTGATGTTCTTTGTTTTGATCAATTGGAAATAAATATTTTTCCAAAAGTTCTTTCCAAAATTGAATTTCTGGACCTGATAAATATTCTACTTCTCCTCTTTTCAAGTCTTTATCTTCTATCCAATATGGATTCACCAAATCGTCTCTTTCTTGTTTAACTTCTATAAAAAAAAATGAATAAATCATAAAGTATAATTTAGCTACTTGGTAAGATTTTTAAACAAATTTTTTTCCTGTACATATGGATGTGTGTGTGTGTGTGTCGTGAGAGAAGAGAGAGAGTGTAGGGAGGGGCACAATTTTGTTCACCCACTTTTAAGCTTAATAACACCAGTGCCTTTTGTCGAAAATTTCCGAAATTTTGCAGGAAGGTTTTTGTATTAGAAGGGTTGGTGTTATTAAGTTTTGGTGGTTAAAGGTCAAGTGGGTGAAAAGACAGTGGGGACATGTGTGATATCTCGAGTGGGGTCGAACTTAATGAAGATTTTACTCGTTATTAATATTAACAATTGTTTTATAAAACTCATTTCTACCCTCAAAATTAAGCTTTTTGCCATTTTAAGCTTATAAACAAAGTTCTCATAGTAGATGACGTCACAGACAATTTTAATTTTGTGCTTGTATGTCTTAGTATTTTTGGCCGGGAAAGTTAAGCAATTCGTTGCTCGATTTTTTTGTTATTTTCCTACTTCTTGCCTGCTAAAATGCTAAACAATTATATTATCGAGATAGTTATTTTGTGTGCCTTTAACTTTCAAGATATATAGGGAATTAACATTCTAGTATGTTCTCTAAATGATGACATTGTTGAGTTCACCCCCTACGGAGTAACGCTGAGTAAAGTAATGGAAACTGGAACAAGTTTGTGACAGTGATTCAGCGTTAAAAATTGGAATGTCTTCTTAGAAATACGGACTAGACAAAAATTACATAATTTATGACTTAAGCATTTTTACGTTGTTACATAGTTGTAAAAAATTCTGAAGTATTTTTATTTTTTTACCTAATGCTCTATCTATTTACTTGATTAAAAAAGAAAAACACTAAATTTAATCACACAAATCGGAATGTCACTTTGCAGTAAATAATAGATATGCAATACAGCTAATTATGATTTATCATGTAAATCACCAAATTAATAAGATATTTTAAATTTAATATACGTTTTTTTTTACGCACCTAATCTTTCACTTTCAGTTAAATCTGATGCGGAATCGAAACCTTCTTCTTCATCTTCATTTTCAGCAACGGTAGAAAGTCCAGTAGAACCTTTACCCGATCTTCGACCAATAGAAGAACTGTGTTTTACAGGTAACCCGTGAGTAACTTCCAATTGTCTTTCTACTGATTCCAACTTTTTATTAAGTTGATCTAATTGCTCGCCAATCCTAATCAGATGCATTTTCTCTTCGTTTGATTTTGGATAAGTGCAAAGCATACATGTTAACAAATTTCCCAAACTGATAACAATGCTTCCATCTTCATCATCATTTGAAGTAAGTCCTAGCCAATTTAACAGATTTCCTCCCTTTTTCTTTTTCTTTAGCTCTTCTTCCTGTTGTTTTCTTTCTTCTTCCATTTCTTTCTTTGTTTTTTTCGTTTGAACTTCTCGAGTTCCCCAAGTAACGACGTTGAGATTCACAAGAGAATAAATAATAAGCAGCAGATACATAGAAGGAATGCTTAAGAAGTATAGCAAGCCAGGAACAACACACCAAAATTCTTGAGGATGAATAACAGCCGCTATGAAGAAACTCCCCGATAATGCTATCAAGAAAATTGACGAAGGAGAACCTATACCGTCCTCAGATAATTGAATAGACGTACCAACCAAAACAGCCATCATCAGAAGAGCATAACAAGCACTCATAATTTGAGCTACCATAATCTGTCTCAAAAAAAAATTAAATATTAATATTTAATTTTATAAATGTTTATACCACCCATTAGAACACGAAACTCACCTGAATATCATTTTTAGCCACGAAACATATAAACATAAAAAATAAAATAGGTATAATGTTATAATTGAAGGAGTACCAATTGGAAATTTTAAACGCTGCTACCATAGCTCCTACCAACATCAAAAATATAGTACCAGGTCCAAGTACTGTACCAGTCATCAACATTCCTTGATACATAATGTAAGGGACAGATATATTATCGTTAATTTCAACAGTGCGTTTATAATCTCCCAAAAGATCCATAATGTTAGCCATGGTAGATGGAGCCCAACGACGTCTCTGTGTGTAAAATTCTCCAAATCCTTCAGGACAATGTGTGTAAGCATCGGAAGCAGCACTGTACTCTACACGATATCCCCGTTGAAGAAGTAAGGTACATAACCAACGATCTTCACCTGAATAAATATATTAAAAAATGAGCTAAGGTACATTTCAGCCTTTATATGAAAGCTTTTAAAAATCAGAGAATTTCAAAATTCAACAATGCCTATATTTAAAACATAATGATAGTGGTCTTCAATCAAAGTAAGATTATTGAAATTATCTGTGTAAGGAATGGACTTTCACGGTTTTTTTGACAGTAATTATATAGATTTTAACATTGTTGCAAGTTTTTGCTAAATGCTCTACGTTTTATACTCTAACAATGATATTCGTCAATGATTCAACTTATAGACTTATAAATTAATTCAAATCTTACCTTGATCGTACTGCACATAATGTCTAGCTTCATCAGATTGTGTTGTATATCTTCTCATAACGTTGTCATCCATTAAAGCTTTGGCACGAAATAAAGAAAAGCATCCAGGACTACAAAGTACACAACCAATCATATGTTCTGTGGCTTTTTGCAGCCAATGGCCAATAGCATATTCGAATTTTTGATACCATACCATTGGTCCTTGATGGACAAATGTTACTGTTAATTCGATATAAAGATAAATTATTATAAAACAAATATTTAAAAAAACATACCTGATCCGACAGGATGGATACGACCACAGGCAGCACCCAAATTTCTATTTTTCTTCATTAAATCTACTAGTAACTGTACTGCTGGTGGTGTAAAGTTAATGTCCCCATCTAAGGTCAATATAAAAGTGTTTTCAGCCATGACCGCTTTACGATTGACATCAATAGGAAGCTCCATTAATCTATGACCCAGAAGATAGTACATATACATCACCTGGAAAGAACAATTTAATAACATTTTTACTAAGCTTCATTCTTCTTAATATTAATCCATAAGTAAGGCAATTGGATAGTCAAAGCGCACTAGCCTAATGCTCTGGAGGACCCGAGTTCAGATAAATTTCTTGGGATAATTTTACACAATATGTCGAGCCCAGTCCCTCATTCATTACCCAGCCATCTGTTGTGGGCTTGCTTGAACCCATTGAGGGCTTGAACAAAGACTGTTTAAGTGAAGTAAATAAGTAAATTTGTGGTTGTTACTTTATCAAGAAGCCATTGATATATATTTTATGAGGTTGTTATATATAACTGTATCCATATCATTTTCAAAAAATAGAGAGAAAAAGTAGCCTGATTTCTTAGTAAGTTTTATTTATAGGATCAAGTTTTAGATATGCATTTAAAAAATTCCCAAATAACATACAAACTTGCTTTTCTGGATATATTATTTACCCGATATAAACTACTCTCAAATGAAAAATCATACGTCATTCCAACTTATTCACTAGTTTACCTCGACCTTTATAATAATGTTAAAGCTCATAAATTTACCTGACTCCATCTTTTTCTATGACGAATTTTAGCTTTATCTTTTAGATGAGCGATGAGTTTATTTTTTCCAGGCATAGTCCAAACTAGTCTACCTCCGTAAGGCGTGGGAATCTTTTTTGGTGGTTTCAAACGTATGTTGCATTGATGAACATTACTAATAACATAAAAATGTGGTTAATTAAGATAGAGGAATTTTAGAAAGGTTATTAAATCTATTTTTTTTAATTATCATTTACCTTGCAGCTTCGTCAATAATTGTGATCATTGCCTTTACAAAACGGTTAACCACCATTTCATCATCATTATCATCACTCAGTTCAAAAGCATCATCGAAATAGGCATGAACTATTATCAATCATTGATTAATTTCTATGAAAGTTCAAGTTTTATTGTATTTTTAAAACTTTTTACCTTCAAATTCGTAATAATCGGGATCAACTATCCTGAGATACTTTTGGGCATTTCTTCTAGCGCTTTGATCTTCATCCATCCTGAAAATTAATAAAAAGACTAATGAGTATTGCACTCTAAGTTATTTCATGCGTAAGTGGTAACCATTAAATCTGCTTTAAAAAATTATTTATTTTTGTGAAAAAAAAAAAATGTGTTAAAAGCATACCTCATTACAGACTTCAACATCTGAAGCATTTCTTCATTAGTTTCGTGCCACATAGTCACGCACGCATATACGCGAACTATCTGATCAGCACTCTTAACAGTAGATTTACTTCCACCATTCTGACTTCCTGATGTTTCAGTGTGAATCGAGATGGTTTCATAGTATTGAGAAATATCGTTATCTTCTGTTCCTTCCAGGTCCAATTCCTATATAAACACATTATTTTAATATGTTAGAGCCTAATTTATACTAAAACATTTATTATAATATCTAATCTTATAGCATAAATATAAATTTTTAGTATTAAACAACTGCAAATACCGTAAAATTTAATTAATTGTAGACAATATCACAACTTACATCACTTTTAATTTCACCTTCATCATCTCTTCTTCTGTTCAAAGCTACTGATTGATCGATGAGAACTCCACAATACATAGGATTAACAAACAACCTGTGCAAATAAAAAATTACTGTATAAAAATAAAAATTATTAATTTATAATGAGTAAAATTTTGCATACTTTTCAGTCGAAGCCAATCTTTCGCATTTGGGCATCCAAATATGTACCGCGATCCACGTCTGCGATAGCAACCACAAGAGCCACATCCAAGCGTATTGATTTGAAACAAAATCTTGAAAAAAGTCACCCTGTGGACATGTCCAGAAGAGATATTTTGGGAAGACTTCATCAAAGAAACAATAATCTTCCATCCGAAATCCACAAGAAGCAATCAGCAACGATATAGAAACAGGTATGGTTAAACTAATAGGAAATGCAAAACTGAAACCTTGAATACATATCTTGCAAGAAAATTTCCCGAATACATAGCAGAGTAGGGCAGAAATCGACTGTATAAAAAGGACATAAATTGGAGTCATGGGAAACGATTCGATTGCTATTTGTTCGTCTAAAGGGCTAGCTGTCGGTAAATCGGGTAATTTTCCGGATAAAACACTATTCTTTACTTGCTGCACATTTATAAGATGGGTCTGAAAGCTTTCTTTAAACAATTTTAAAATATGAGATATGTCTTCCATTGTCATGTAGAGGAAACATAACATGCTACAGAAGATGACGATAATTTTCCATAAGGATATGAAGACGTAAGTCAAGTATCTGCTCCTTCTGAGATCGTCTTTCATTTTGCTTAACCTTCTAATACAACTTAAGGGAGATCTTTTATCTATATAATTCTCCCACCATCGAAACGAGACCAAAAATATGGAAAGAGGAATGGCCCAAGAATGATTGCTACGTTCTACTAAAGGCCATATAAAAAATCCCGTTGCTTGAGCCAAAATGGATAGAAAATCCACAACAACTTTCAAAACTCTTTTCTCTTCTTCGCTGTTGCGTGAAAGCAAAGATAAAACTCCAGGCACAAAACAAACACAGTTCGTCAACATGGCGGCTTTAATTACATCCAGATCTGGCAATACTACAAAAACCAAGAGCGAAAGACCTATAGTGTGTAGTGTTTCCATTACAAAAACCTGAAAAAAATACAGAAATTCTGCTATAAAATATCACAAATCTAAATTTATTTATTTTAATATTAAGTAGCTTATCTGAGAGAAAAAAGTGTTAACAAATGCATTATGTTTGCACGCTTAAAAATAACTGAAGCACGGTGGAGAAAATAAAAATAATTGATCATTCGAGCTTGAAATTAACCCCGATTCATTATATACAACTGAAGAGAAGGTTTACTGACCTAGATATTCAATTAAATTTTAAATAAAACAATAATAAAGTTCAAATACTATACTAAAATTGCGTATTACCATGAAAAAAACTGGAAGTTTCGGCCTTTTGTACGATTTAAAAACACAAATTCTAGTACTTCGGAAGAAAGTAAATAGTTCTGGTATAATTAAAACGAAGAACAGAGCCCATATCCATACTGTTTTCTCACGATCTGGTATGGAAACTGTGTACTCTTTATCCCTCTCCAAGCCTAGATAAAATAACAAATCATATTAAAAACAGTCTTAATGTTAAACAGCACTAAAGTTCAATCTAGTTGAATAAATTTTTCATATATTCATACTTCAAAAATTGCAACAATGTAGATAAACATGCTACAAGAAACACTAAACCTGTAAGAAACAATACAGGGTGGAACCATCTTTCCATCACCCACGTTTAACAATAGAATTGACAGTGATAAATAACACTGATTTCTAGAGAAAATATTTATGATTTCATAGAATTTATTACATTCTTTAAATAAGGTTTTCCAATACTCACCTATTCCTTTTTTGCATATTGTTAAAGTTCTGTTGATCTTCAGATGCGATGTCATAAATAGAAAAGTTCCCTTGGCTATCACAGCTGTGCATAAAACTAATAAGAAAGTAAGACCATAAACAAATACTTTAAGGAATTTTAAAGTAATTTCTATAGCTTTAGAACTGATCGTTTCATCTTCGTCATCTGGAGGTGTGACAACGAAAACGTCCCATGCTTTCGTCTCTTGTGTGCTCCTACGACTGTTTAAAACAGAATATCATTAGATAATAGTAAAGTTACACCTGTAGAATATATATATATATGCTCGTTTATAAGAATGTAGGCCCTATGTGTTTTTAGAGCGTATTTAGAACATATTCTATGGAAGAAAAATGTATCTTTCATACTAACTTAAAAAAAAATATACATTACCTTCCATAAGTATTTTCGATGAGACTCTCCTTTTCATCATCATTAGTTTCATCTGAAGAAGAGTCATCTATAATTTTGCTCGATTTATCCATTCCTCCAGTTGTTTATGGGAGACATAAATCTAAATTTAATTATAAAAATTTATCTTAAAACTATGTATTTGACATATAAATTTAATTTCATAAATACACCAATATTATATATATTTTTTTATAACATTACAGGGAGATATTCCAAGCATTTTCCAACATCCTAGCTATGAAAGAACATCATCAAAAACTAAAAATGTAAGTAAATAATATGATTTTTTAAATTTATTAACTAAATAATACCCACAAATGTTAATTGAATAACCAAGCCTCAAAATATAACTTTTATGTATCAATTATTAATTAAATTATGATATAATTATCCCCACCAATCAAACGATGAGTTATTTAGATGTGTCCTAATTACGAACTTAACTTAAATCATTCAGTCGTGAATATCGTTTTAATCATCTTAACACAGGAAAATCTCTTATATAAATTTTACATTCAGAAGATATTCGATATCCTCCTAAAATATTAAAATTTTAGTAAAAGTTATCCGGTTATACAAATCAAAGGGGGGGAGAGCAGTTACGTATCTGTATCTATAGTCACGGTGGGGGTAAAAAAACAGGTTTTCTAAGAAATTTAGGTCATTCAAACGTGTGTTTATCTGGGACGAATATCGCGCTCTGCATCAAGGTAAGCAGGAAAAAAACTGGAGTGTTCCGGTAACCATTGTTAATCGTTCCAGTTCCGTTAGATTCGAACAAAAATGGCTCGAGCCGATGTAGATCACCAGCTACAAACGTTGATTAGGCAGACAATTTATTATTTCTAGCTTTATAATACGTTATAATCCGAATTTTAAATCGATGGTTTTGGTATTTTTACAATTACGAAATTGTAACAGAATTGAAAATATTCGATTGCTGCAATCGGCATTTTTTGATCGCCGTGTCTCTGTCAACATAATTGCATTAATTGTTAAGAAACAAGGACGTAATACTTAAATATTCGTGTGAAATATTTTAAGCGTGAAAGTTGGACTTCTGGAAACATAGTATCAATTCAATTTCATCCTCCTACATGTGTCAAACGTCCACATGCATTAAACGTTTACCATACGATAAATTTATTAAATTATTAGTAATTGGATGAGACTGGTTAAACGAGTCACGATGCCATAAATCAACAAAAGAAAAAAAAATTCTAATTTTTCTAGTGTTAAAAGGAACAATCATTCTCTTCTATTGACAACGTGGAAAACGAAAATGGATGCGGGCGTGATTACTTTTTCTAATGGTTTTACAAGAAGATCCCGCTATGCTAAACGTCCTCCACGTTGCAAGGTCACTGGGGCGATAGGTTTTTGGCCCTGGACGAAACCAGTTTTCGTACGACTTCCTGCCTACTCTGACAACTGCATTCGCCCTAAACAGTACACGTACACGATTGTGTCCAGTCATACTCGATGAAAAATTCACTTAACGGCCCACGTGCTGTGACATTCGGTTCCGGTATTTAATAAAACTGGATATATATATATATATATATATATATATATATATATAAATTTCTTTAGTTGTTACTTTAAATGCCCATTTTTCTAAACTAGTTTAATTTCTCGAATGTAATTTTTACTTTATGTTATTAGCGAATGTGCTTAATTGTCATTTTAAACACATTTTAACTAGGTGAGAGGTGAGTTTGTGCTATTGTAATTTGTGAAAAAAAACCTCTTAAACGGAAGCAGGCATCGAAGCGCAAGTAGGATAAGAAATTTATGAAGTAGTTCCTGAACGATATCAAAAGAAATAAGTGATAAAATCGGTATTTCTTATTTAATAACGAGACAAGAATATGATAAACAAACGTCCTCGACCGATCAGATAAAATGATATTGCTTAAATTTGATCTAAAATGGAATCACATTGTGAGAAATCTTCATTTCCTATCCTCTACAAACCAATTATTCGTGACCGTAATCTTATAGTTAAACGTTCATACAATGCTGTGTCCTAAAAGGCAATAGGAGTAGAGAAACAGATAACTTGTAGCACAATCAAAAATAGATAAGACATAACGCCAACATAAAACTGGGCATGAAAAAATTTCCAAAAATATATTTTACGTCAACTAATATTATAAACACGAATTATTTTTAAACGTTCACGAAAAACGTTAACATATTCACATATTCCGTGCCCAAATTTAAATAAGCAGGTAACAATCACACATGGTCACTCAATTTCCGCGTAGCTATCAAGAAAATTAATCACCTGTTATATACTTTCATAATCAAGCAACAGCTGTCTAGTAGACTCGAGCGCTTGTAAAATTCTAGCAACTTCTGTCAGATAGTAATGGTTAAAAAAAAAAAAAACAGTCACCGTTAGGTTTTAGTTACGCACCACTTACCTGCCTTGCTGTTAACAGAAATAACGATGCATTCTTCAAATAACAATCCAGCAATTAACGAAAGGATCCGTTAAGAGTTTGTATCATCATTAACAAAGTCAACGTAAAGGCATTTATCCTCGGAAACTGCAGGTATGAACTCTGCTAAGCCAACACCGTTCGACACACAAACAGACTTCAGAACCGGTTCTCGACGGGCAACTTGTCATGTAGAAGTCACTGTCCCTGTCTTATAATAACTATTGGATGCTTGCGTTTCCACTCTTTGTCTCCGTTTCTCTTGACGTCACAGATCCATTTTTCGAGCCTTTGATATATTAATCTCCACACAGTCATCTTTAACGGTCGATTAGGAGGTTAATTCTTTTCTGAAATCTCAGGTTTAATCTTAAGTCATCCCCTATTGCTAAAAAGTTAATTCGCTTCCATAAACTGGCAACGAACTGCGTGGGTTCTTCATTTATTGGTCACTCAACTCTGGAAGGGTCTTATACGGAATCTTTACCATTTTTGTGGCTCTTGTTTTCATTATAATTTTATGTGTTTAGTAGGAATTAAAATAATAAAATTACAAATTCCAGTATGCTATAGAAAATTCAAGTATTCTACATTGCATATGAATATTTTATAGCTACGGTATACTTAATTATAAGATTTTATAGTAAATTTAGTTCTTTTTTAGCCAATAAATTTATTAAAATGAATGCTAGTTCATTTTAATTAGACTCAATGATCCGAGTTTGGTAACTTCAGTGATCCATGCATCGTTTTAAATACAAAATTATTCAAGATAATTCATTAATTACTTCTGGAATTTTCATAAAAGCGAATCTCGTACATTTATAAAAGGTGTCCATCGATGATCCTTGACACAATTCCGACACCTGTCTGACCACTCCCTACTCAATGTCTCGTTTATATTGCATATAATAATTGTTTAAATATTTAAAATAAATGCGTGTAAATAAAGATTAAAATCATATTTAATTAATAAACAAGTCATCATTTAAAGTGCTAAAAACGCCTTCAAAATGTTCAATTCCTCGCATTAAAAAAGTGATCCAAAAATCTATTTTTTAAAAATGTTCAAGTTTCTAGAACAGCGAAAAATACAAAATGGCTGACAAACAATAGATCGTAAAAAAGAAAATCTTGTAGCAAATTATCAACCTTATTGAAAATTACTAAAGAAATATAAAATAACCTTACAATTTTATGATTGGCAAGTTTACCAGCATAAGTTATAAACCTACAGGCTTGTCTAGCCTTATAGCTAGATATATTTAAATTCTGATCAGGTTATCTAGAAGGGACGGACGGGTCAAGGTTCAAAGATCTAAAGATTTTTATAAGAGCATCGTGATAATGTAATTAAGTATAATTTATTGATGTAGAAGAAATAAAAGACAGTTAGACAATCGGTTCCATTCTAGTTTTTTCTAGAATTTTGAATACTAAAACAAAAATTTTCGAATAAATGTTCTGCTACACTATAACCCGCAGGTTTGTTATTTTTTATAGCTTTATTTAGACGAGATTATATAAAATTGTTATAAACTAGATGCGTATTTTTGGCTAGTTACATCTATTTCACATATAGAAAAATATTCCGCGAATGCGTATCATAGAAAACACTTTCTCAATAGTAGCGTTACTAGTACTGTTATGGAGAAAACTCACCCCTTAACTGTAACATACAGCAACTACAGATTATAGCTACTTGGTGGTACTACGGATATTTGGGTGGTAGCCTACTATAGCTATACTGTATAGTAATACTATAACTGTGTTAGTACTATAATAAGTAATATAAGCTAAGCAATAATATACATTAATTATGATCTATAAGTTACGTTGCTATAGGCTAAATTGTAACATTAACCTACAGTTAGGTAGTATTAAATATTACGTCAGAATCATTAACCCAATACAAATATTATACGATCTGAACGTCTAGTTTACAGATTACTATGTATAACTAGAACATTAAAACTAATAATTGTATATTATTCAACAATTTTAATTAATATATTGACTTAACTGTATTATAAATCAATAGTGTAGATCGTCAGTTGTTTAGTAATATTGAATATAATCTCATACAATGGAACAATAGATCCTCTTCGTAAGAATTAGTGATTTCTGACTCAAAAAGAGAAATGCCCGAACCTGTATGACAGCCTTTAACTTCACATTTTTCAAACACGTTTGTTTGCCCCACTAAAATATTTTATATTTATAAAATTATATGAGAAAATTAAGTTAATAAGCACCATTAAAACTATATTTTTTACTTAAAATTCCATTCATTTGATTTATTTGTAGAATACAAATAATATATTTAACTATAGAAAACATAAATTACTTTCTCTTCTAATATAGTTCAATAATATAGATTTAAGTCTGTATATATAGTATCCCAAAAGTCAGTTAACAGTGTAAGTCGCAAACAAACTATAAATTAGGAACTTTGGCTCTTTCAATGGTTAACTGACTTTTAACTCTATTAGCCTTAGTATATGTTAATTTCCTGAGATTCGTTTCATTTTTAAAGATTTTTGTTGATATTTCGCATTTAATATAATTTACTTTTAACATATTCTGCATATTTAGAGGATACTATAAGGGCCATCTGACCAAGCCCCCACACAGAGAACCAGAGAGCTTCAGAATTTGGTCGTTTATATGGTAAAGGAGTAGATTGATGGCATAAGGCAACGAACGTATAGGCGATCAGATAAGTGGAAAAGATTTTTCGTGTGAAACTGACTCTGATTTACGTGTTGGACATGTGAATAAACCCGGTAAACTCCACGCTGCCTGTCCTGTTACCAGTGTTCAGGCATCCACTAAGTCACTGGTGGGTCTTTTATGTAGAAGAACACGAGTCTGAAAAATCTGTTTTGTTGATTTCAATGATATATTTTTATAGCTTTCCGAGAGAGATGAGACATCATACTTTTGACAGGCCTTATCTCACTTCTCTCAGGCCATGAATGTTTTCATCGAGATAAACAAATCCCTGCAAAAATTTTAAAGCTTTTAGGTCATTCTTTCTTTTTCGTAAGATGTTCTTTACGATTACTTCCAATTAACATTCAATTTTTATAACAAAATTCATGCAATTTTTTTTAATATAAATCGTTTAGTACATAATATTTTCTGACATTCTTCATATTAAATTCAAGAGGCTTTTTTTCCGCTAAAAAAAAAAAAAAAAAGGTTACGTGGTATTAGTGATGCATTATTGAAACCTGTTTCCTAACTCATTTAAATATTTATCACAAAAATAATTATCTAATTATATATTTTCAGTTTTACCGGTTATTTAACTTAATTTTTAATTTAAATATTCAATATGACCAAAAAATAAAAAGAACAGATATATTTAATTCACTTCTAATAAAGAGGTATTCATTGTTTATATGTTGTTAGAGGCCCATATAGGTAGAAGATGATGGATTTAACACATATTCTACTTTTAATGGTGTAAAGGCAATGCCTAGAGCAGATGACAAGTTAATTATAATTCGAAAGAAATAAGTTTAATAGCTATAAATGGGCGCCATTTTGTTTCTTTGAGATAAAATATAATGATTTATGATGCCATTAAACCTCGATTATAAGTAAAAATCTTGTTTCGAGAGTACTCCATATTGCAAACTCGGAAAGAAAAGTTTAACAAGCTCTTTTGTCCTTGATTACAGACACAGAGAGATCTCAAAATTATTTTTATGCAAAGTATTCATGGATATAAATTAAATTTTCCTTTGATAATATATAAAAATATTAATTATATAATTTCAGAAAAGGGTTAGAACACATGTTTGTGACTGGGTTGACTCATCTCATCTCTCTCATGCCCTGTGATATTTATATTCACGTGAAACGACCTCATTTTTTATATATATACATCATGTTTACGTATATGTAAGTATCAGAAAAACTAGATAGATGCAACCTAAATAATTAATCAAAGCGTTAATACATGATACATATCTTAATGAGATAACAAAAGAATATAAATTAATTAAATGTAAGATTGAATATACTTAAGAGGAAGAGCCGAACAGATTGAATATTAAAATGTATATATATTCAATTTAGAAAAATGGTTAACAAGAACAAGAAGCTGTGGAATATCTTCAAGAAATAAATGGGCGCCATTTTGTTTCTTTTCAAAATTCCGTGAACATGAACACTCTTAAGGTAGAAACATCTAGAATTAATCTATGTATGTAGAAGGACCAAATAGCCATGAATGAAAAAGTATGCATTACTTTAAAATGCAGGAAACTATTTTTCTCAGTAAAAGAAATCAAGTTTTTGGCAACTATTGATGTAATTTACATTCGTAAATTAATGTATTTATTGTAAACTTTAATTATTTGTGCGTTCACAATCAAAAAACTTAGAAATTCTTAATACATTTTAAGAATTTCTAAGTTTGACGCAAGACCAAGAACCTCATCTCCTTGCCCATTACTAATATTTTTATTTATTCTATATTTATTTGTATAATATCCTGAATAAATTGGGCCAGAAACCTCAAAGAACTTAAAATGACCCTGGACTTAGGGTTTTTTTTTTAAACTCTTTCTGCCCTTGATCACTAAGAGGGCCTCTTTTAGCAAGCCCATTATGGGTAGGCCAGGTCCACAATGTGGTGAGGGACCGGACCTTGACATATCCGACGGACCACTCCCCGAAAAATTTCTGGGGATTTTTCAACGTTTCAAATTCGAGTCCAAAATGTAAGACATGTCCGGGAAAAAGAGAATTGTTTACTATGTATATGTAAGTCGTTAAGCACATTTAACAAATTCATGATTTACAATAATGCATTGGAACTATAAATTTGTACATAACTCGTATTCTAGATATAAAATCTTAAAAAGCAATACGAATTCTTTATATTTGAGGATTTCGCGTTTCTTCAACCTCAACAATCAATTTATACTGTTTATCTCTCACGGAATGGTGAAAGTTTTTGTATAAGCTGTAATTTCCTTCAGTTTTTTTTAAATGGAATTAAACTTTGAAGGAAATTCCTGTATAATGATAACGTAAATTGGCTCATTATATGTGGCTCACGTTTTATCATTTCCCGTAGTGTTTTAAACATGCGAAAGGCCAATCTACTCGGACTCGTCCGTTTTAATCTTGTTATCGAGTTAACGAGAAGTTTAAAGTTGACGTAACTTCTTTCTCCAAGTGGCAATGTCCTCATTAAAGATCGAATTTCAAGAATTAAGGATCATCGATCAAACTTACGAAATAAACATAGAATTTAGACGTTTAATATCGTGGGAAATATTAGTTTATGGAGAAAAACTTTTAACAAATTCTCACATGGTAAATTACTCCTAGTGAATTGGATGCGCTTAAGCTTTCGGATAATTATTCCAGTTTAAAATTTCATTTAAAATATCTCTCGTAATGTTTCTTAAGACAAAATGGGTTAACTAATATTTGAATTTGTGATAAACTGATTCAAATATTAGTTAACCCATAATTTATTAATGACGATGAGTTAAATTTAGATATTTCGTTACTAAAATGGATCATTTTTTATGTTAAATACTCAACTTTTTGTTACATTTGCTACATATAGCCTAACACCAAGAAATAATTTAAATATTATCATTCTTTTACATTCAGTGCCATGGTTAATAAATTATTATTAGATATTTATTTATCCTTTATTATATTTTAAGTTCAGGTTGTGCTTATGGTGCTGCAGCATCCTCTCGATCCGAAACCAATAAAATAAACAAGTCTATTAGTTAAAAATGACCGTAGACATCCCTAAATCTTCCTCGAGTAGCACCCATATTCTCAAAATCCTAGATACATCACTCTTTAGGTTCTACGATCTCTTAACCAGATACTAGCTACTACTTTGTTATAACATAGCGATAACATACTGCGGATATATGCTTTTAAAAAAATTGTTAACACAGAATGGAATCTACCTAGTAGTATCTACAGCCTAGAGGCTACAGACACACCAGTCTGTAGATTCCAGACATAATTGACAATGACGATAAACAAGTGGAGACACTAGCTTTTTGAAATTGTGAACCTTTTATCATGTCACAGTATTCTGTTTTCCTTAATTAAAATCGATTAATGTTTACAGGATGTTTTAAATAATCGTTAAAGTTTCCTTCTCATTTGTGTTATTATTATAAATTATAAAAAATGGTTGCGATAATGTAATCATTCTATATTTGTTATTATTACCCTCTTTCTAGTAATTGGGGTATCATGCTCTCTCAAAACAGCAATCGTAATTAAATGATAAATGCAGGTCTTCTCGTCAAAACAACGATAACTTTCGTGCCACCGAACGATCAGTATAATTGCTTTTGCAATTTTTAGTTATGTTATAGAATCAAACTTTCTAAGGGGCTGTCCATAAATGTCGTCCGCATTTTTCTTGAAATTTTTACTCTCCCTCCCCTCTTCGGACGGCCAACAAAACTCTACCTCCCTTAAAACAGTCATCACTTTATGAATAAAAGGCAAAGACTATAAAAAATTTAATGAAATAAATGGACGTCCACTGAAATTCAACCCCCTCCTTCCTTCCAGTGTGGACGTCATTTATGTATCAGGGTACATCCCCTAAAATAGTATATTGGAAGATGTTATTCGTTTTCTTAATGGCATTTAATTGGAAACACGAATATTTTTTTTTTTAGATTTCAACCAAGAGTCCAAGTTCTTAAATGAAATGTCAATTTTCATTTGTTAAATGAATCGTAACGTGTAATTAAGTTATAAAAATAAACCTGAGCTGTAAATTTTCTATCTTTTTACTTTCCGCACTTGCCCGCGTGGAGTTTAGGGGTATTCTTCACGTTTATAACACCTAAACAGGGACCAGTTTCCCCTTAGAAAAATCCTCTCGGGAGGCAACCCCCCCTTAACAATTACCCTCTTGTGTTGCCTTATACAAACAAAAACTCCCCGCACTTAGTTCATGAAATTAAAGGGAGAATTTCAGAGAGACTTTGCAAATTAAACACGAAAGTATTCGTTTAATTTTTTTTTTGGTAAAAATTTTCGATTTATTCGTGTAAAATCAATTGACTATTACTTATAAGTCAATAAAGGTAGATACAGGGCCATTTCTACGGGTTCCTCGAATCGTCTACACAGAGGGAGAGCCCCGATAAATAGCGAAATATTTGATTTCATGTATATTTTTAACAGCTTTGAGGAATGAAAACACTCAAACGTAATTGCTCTAAGTTTGTTTTTGAGATCGAATTATAATTGCCACACAGTTTACGTGCATTTCATTGAGACATTCAAATCTTTCGCTTGCCACATTTTACAGAATACGGGGCACCCTCAATTCAACACAGAATCACCCACTTTTTTATTTACTGTATTCTAAAATGTAAAATTAGAATGCACAATAATTAGGAACAGAAGAGTTTACAAAAAGTCAATGTAAATGACTCTTCTTTCGAAGTTACAATCTCCCATAGGATAATGAATTCCCCAAATGGCTTTTGGTAAGCTATAGTTAATGTTATTGTTAAATATTAAAAGATGTCAATTTAATGATAAATTAAAATTTATCAAACTGCTTGGCTATAATAATAATAATAATAATAATGCATTTAAACAATAACATTTTTTTTAATTAAAGGAGGAGCTAGGAGGCCAAAGACCATTTGGGAAATTCATTAATTAACCTATGAGAGACCACAACTTCACCATAAAAGACGCAGGACGTTTATGGAGTCTTTTCTTTGACAAAAGTAGCATCTTGTATGTGGCAAAATAAGGCAAATTTCAGTCTATTTGCACAGATTTATCGGTTTCTTTTGGTTTTTTCTCAACTTTTGGCTCTGCTCTGTGGGTGCTCTTCCCCCATATCCATTGTGGGTTTGGTCACAACAGAGGCAACTGAATCACTATCCGGTTTGACATATCCAGGACAGACTGTCGGCCTAAAAATTTTCTGGGATTTTTTTTACCACTCTGATTTGATCGTCCTCCAGAACAGTAGGCTGATACCTTTAGCCTCTGTCTTTACCCACAGTTTCTTTTGGTTTGGTGTCTAGTCATTGATTTATCAGAATCACAAATTGCAGAGGAGTAATAGAATAAATTTAATATTTGACTGGATCAACTCTCATTATTTTATTTCATGGCACCTGAAATTCCACCACAGTTTGCAGTAAATCATTGCAGACAATCTTTTTTTCCAGAACTAATTTGTATAGTAAAAGACTGTACTTCATTGAGTAGTTTTAAATTCTTAGACAATTAGTAATCTGAAGATCTCTGTTTAGAGCAAAAAATCCAAATTTTTTTTTTTTTACATCTTTTGTTTCTTAGTCTATTTTATTTATTGTTCATTATTTTAAAATATTCCTTATTCAGGTGGCTATGTCTTTTATCTCATTTAATTTTAACTTAAATAGATGATGCATCATGTATTTTATACAATTTTTAAATTATAAAGAAACTGTAACAAATAAATAAAGTTTATTTGAACAATTTTATAAATCAAAATGAGGTAATTTACAGAAGAATTTTGAATTTTTAACAATTAGTTATAAAAAAAACTTCATGCAAAAAAAAAGCAACAAACAAAAATCATTCTTAAATTTTTCATTCCGAACATCAACTTTCACAAGGCCGAATTAAGGCACAGAATTCTACTGATGGAAATTTTGAGTCTTGAACACGGATAAAATGGAATTTATGATTTCTACGATGATTATATAACCAAATTTTTCTATAGATAAACAATAAGAAAAAATTATTATAAATCAAAAACAATGTTAACATTTCAAAATACTTCAGAAGTAATTCCTATATATATAAAATATCTTATTTAGTTTAAATATTGTGATTCTTTGTTGTTCTGTACAAACTGTCACACTTAATCTTGTTTAAATAAAGTAATATAATAAACTAAACTTTAAAAAATATTTTTAACATTAAAAAATCAAATCTCCAACATAAAAGTAAATAATATAATAATTAACGATGTATATATTGTGTGTATGTAACAATTTATCACTAACAAAAACAAATTAAGTAAAATAAATTAATAAAACTTGTTTGAGATGATAATTCTAGATACAAGAAGTATGTTATATTAATACTGATACAGAATTTATGATGTGTACACATTCTAAACAATGATTAGTAGATAAATACATCTTCAAGTTAAAAGTTAGATTTTTCAAGAGTACACAAAAAAGTATACAGCAAATGAATACATTTTACTGATTATAAATTAATACATTCTACTTATAAAATTTTATAAACTGCTTCACATTATTCAACCATGTAGAAAGATTCCTAATACTGTTTGTGTTATTTAAAAGTATTCCAGTTATAATAATAAAATTTGAAAACAAACCAATAAATTAAACTGTACAATTGTGACTGTTATTCACACTCCCCCTCCGCTTCTTTCTGCAGTCATTTGGCTACCTTTCCGTTCATTTACAATATCAGCGAGTCTGGCCAGTCTGCTCTGTGAAATGACACCAGTTTTTATGGCACACATAAGCTGAAAGAGATATTTAAACTTAATCTATTGATTAAACAACAAAAAAGTCACAATGCAATTAAATTGCAAAATTTATTTAACATTTGAAGAAAATATTGAAAATATGGAAGAATGGTATAGCAGGAGGAGGATGGTCATCTGGAATTCCATAATTTTTCAATGAGTTGTTTGTTTGATGGCAGTCTGGCTCACAGTCTATTACTTGAAATTTTAGAATAACTAGCCCCAATTCAGATGCGAGACACCATCGAATGATCCATGCAAACTGATACATGATCTATCATGATGTACATTTTGTAACTTAAAATTTGAAAATAACTGATCACAACTCAGACTGCCATGAATTTTTTTGGACTCTTCATCCTATGAGCACTACGCGGTGTTTATTTCAAGCCCACAAATGGAGATGGCCAGGCAGTAAGGGATGAGAGAACATACCTGGGACAGACCACTCTCGAAAACATTTAGGGAGATTTTTTGATCTATTTGATTTGATCCTGGGTTTTCCAGAGCATTCATTCATTATTTATTGTTGCACAAAAGTACAACACTGTTCCATTACCAGTAGTGCTATGTGGAACCAAAGTACAATAAACATACAAATACAGAATATAAAATAACATACAAAGTAAAGTAACAATAATATGAAATAGAGTAAAATAAAATATAACAGAATGAGTCACAGTTAAATAAATCACAATAGAATATAAAATACACTTGAATGCAATAATACACACTAGGATACAATAATATGCAATAAAATATAATAAAATACAAGTAGATAGAAACATGGTGGAATACAAGTACACAAGTTCTCTAGAGCAGCGGTCCCAAACCTTTCTATCGCCGCGGACCGGTCAAAGTTTGATAATTTTACCGCGGCCCACTGAGGGTGGAACATTGATTGTTTATATTTTAGATTGATTTAATTTAATAATTTTAATTTAATTGTATTTAAACATGTCTTCAAAATAAAATACAGTTACACCAAAAAATGAATAAAATGTGATTTAACATTTTAACTCACTAGAACGCTAAATCAGCGAGAACCCTGAGCTTGTTTCATTGCAACAAGACGGTTCCCTCTGTACCCCCAGAGGGAACCATCTCGTTGCAATGAAATAGGAGACAATGACACCCAAAGTGTTTCTTATGTCCAGTTTATTCTGTTGTTCCGTCGTCCATTAAAAGTCACACAAACCCGAGGAAATACACCATAGTAAATAAAATGGAAATAATTTAATGTTCCATGGGTGGGTCCAGTACCATTTGATCCATGGACCGGTACCGGTCTGCGGCCCGGGGACCACTGCTCTAGAACAGTAAACTGATGCCATAATTGCTTGACCATCTGGTCAGAAATATATATATAGCTATCAGAATAGTGATGACCAAGGTTCTGGTATAAGCCTACCACTCTGCAAAACCCAGGATCAAATGAATCATTGTACATAAATTATATATGTATTTGTTGCCAGTTCAATGCTGTGGTGTAGCAATTTTTTGAACATTTTAAATCAGTCACAAGCAATCCATAGCCCACAAAGGTCCTAATATACAGCAACAATTTTATCTTTTTGTTTTCTGCCTTATGCCATTATGCAATCCTAATTAAGCTGATATTCATGATGAACATTCAAACTAAATTTTATCAGTTAAAAGATGAGATTAAAGCACATATTACTAGTTTGCAAATCATTAGTATATATTAATTTAGAACATAGTTCACTGGTATTTATGGACTTTGTTGATACTCAAGCCTGCAACTCCATAACAAAAAAGAATGCATGCAACCCAACAGAAATCTACAAAGTTCATTTGTGTCCACATTCAGAAAAGATTGCTTATTATCACCTTAAATAAATAAATATAATTTAAAAATGCAAATAATTTTACCTCCATAAATTCATCCAGCTCTATGAATCCATTTTTGTTTAAATCTACCTCATTTAAGATTTCATGCAGTTTGCTTTCTGAAATATGTTCTCCTGATTCCTGTAATATAAAAATTTTTTCAAATATTACAAATTTTGCTAAGAGGTTGATATTCATTGATTATTGTCAGGATAATGATCTAAATATTTCTTTTATTGCTAACAAAGTTACTAATATACAATATCCTATTCAGGAAATGCATAATTTGTTGTGGGTATCTTCTTTTGTAGAGCTTAGACCAGCTCTTAAAAAATCTTCAAGACTACTCCAAAGAAAAAAAGTTGGCTCATTCACATACTGGAGGAATACATCTTATCAGAAAAGCTTTCTTCTTATATCCTCAACAAACAAAATTTCTAGTTGGCAACACATTTCAATCATTTCCATAGCATTTGGGTGAACATTATTTCTATCGTCTGCTGACAAGTTTATTTGCACTTTTTAAGAAAAATCAGAATGTTAGTGATGGCTATGTGTTTTAGTTAAGAATTTAGATATAAATTATGCATTATAACAGAATAGGCACATGTATGTAAACTTTTAATTTGTAATAACCAAAATCAAATTTATGTCAATAAAATAAGAAATAGTTACAATATTGTAAACTATCAAGAAAAGGTAAAAGAAATTTCAATTAAAACTTTAAATCTCTCATACAAATTTCCTTTATCAATATATTTATTTACCTTCAAACTCTGACTTAAATCGACAACAGAAATGTAGCCTTTACGACCTTTATCTATAGCATTAAATTTTTCTTTAAAAGTACAAATTTCTTCTTCTGTTAAACTCTCACAGACATCCTGTCTTGATAACCTGTTGACATTCTGACCCATTTCGGTATTTAAATACTCCATGGCCTGTTCGAGTTGTTTCTGTTTAAGAAATAATTTTAAAGCCTTTTTAATTTAAATACTTGACTATTTGTAAATGTATACAATAAATTACTTTTATGTATTGCTATTAAAATGTTAAAGCATATCAAAGAATAGACTACACACATTTTCAATATATCATATCATAGATATAAAATTAGCACAGAGAGATCTAAATAATTAAACTGAAGTGCATTTATACCTTTTGTTCCTGTTTACTCCATTTTAATTCTTCTGCCATAATGGAAATTATTTTAGGTAATATGTCAAGAGTTGCTTCATTATTTAAGAATGACAGACGAAATCTACGGGCCACAACGTCTACAGCAGTGCATGCATATTCCTTTATTGCATATCGCACCTTCAAGTACAACACAAAATTAATAAGCTACTATAAAATGCAATGTTACTAAAAAAAAAAAAAACACTTGTCTATCAACCTCTGCTTCAATGTAAGGAAACAGCGGATGTAATCTGCAACCAATAACAGGCCACTTTTTGCCCGTTAGAGAGGCCATCTTAGCTACTTCTATGCATTTATCTCCATAGGACGTGGAAAGATGTTGAGCTACCTGCAAGAAAAATTATTTTCTTTAGCACGAGTTCTCAGTTACATGTAAGTTTTAAGTTAATTATAAATTACCAAAAATTTACATTACATAGTGGAGTCAAATATTATTTAACAAGTTACACTGAATATGTGAGGTTAGTCGATTAGGGGTGAGGTGTTCGACAGCCGAGCGGTTCCTTCTTTCGTGTGGGCGCAGACTGACTTCCTGAGACAGGTTTACCATATAACCGTTTATTAAACATAGAAATTTTCCTTACAAATTACTTGTTAGACGAGGTAGAACCCCAAAGCGCACGGATAAAGTTCGAAATAAAGTTCGTAAAAGTCGGTTTTCGTCGCTAGAGGATGGACGCTGTCGGTGAAACACTCGGTGGGCCCCGGGGCGTTGATTATGGCTTTCGGCAGCTTCTCGCGGACGATCCGACGAATCTGTCGATTGCTAGGAGCACCCAGAGAACGATGCTTCCCCGAGGTTCCAAAATGTCCTTTTTTTTCTGAGATCTGGAGCACGACCGTCCATGAGACGACACACTGCGTATCCAAACACCAAGAACCAAAAACTACGAACCAAGAACCTTCGTCTCTTGAGTCGCACAAATTTATAGATTTTTTTACAGCAGTCGCCTCTCCATTGGTCTCTTATTGTCACCTGGTGACAATTCGAAACCTAATGGAGGGCGCGGGAGAGGTTAACATAGCGACTGAATATGATCCTCTCTCTCGTCGCGTTTTCCTCGAATTTCTCCGTTTCCATTGTTTAACTAATTTTCCGAAAAAACCCAATTGCATTGTTCAATCAAGACACCTAATCCGTTTCCTTATCGTCTGAAAAGGAGCTCTTTATTTTCGATCAAACCCATAATTCGGACTTCTCAGTCGACCCCTGTTCGGGTCCTCACAAATAAAACAAAGTGAAATTGATGTTTACTACTTTCAGATCTGATAATATTTAACAACCATAACTATTTTTTTAAGTGATATGCAACTAAAACATCTGAAGTATTTATTTTTTAATGAAAAAATATTTCAGATAAATAGTAACTAAATGACTGATTCTACTGACATGAGAACTTCAAAAATTTAAATGATTCATTTCTTGCATCATCTAATCATTATATTTAAAATTATTATAGAAAATCAATTGTGCTGAACATAAATTTTAATTGATTCTGATACTTTTTATGTTATATTTGCATACCTCACTTTCAAGACCATAATCTTGTACTAGACGAATAAATAATGTAGGACTCCATTCGTGTGCTCCGTCTAAAAGTAGTCCTTTTGTTTTACATTCTGAAGCAAACTTTAGATCAGGATTTGCTTCCAGAATGGCATCGACTGTTTCTTCTGCCATTAAACGGTAAGTTGTCCATTTACCACCTAAAACAATTTACAATAATGTATCTTGTCTGGCTGATTAAATATTTTAAAATAAGGCTATAAATTATTCTAAATACAGAGTCTTCCAAAAATTGAATGCTACCATTTTAAATTACTGTAATTATGTTAATTATTATCCTTCTTGGATAATAGGCAAGAAAGAGAAATCAATAAAGTAGCTATCAGAGTTTCATCTCCCATCTGCATTCAAGTGTCTTATTGTCAACTACCTCTAGGAAACACTGCAATTGCACAATAGAGAAGGCATTGTGTTCTGCAGCATTATGCAACATGATTATCTACAGGAGTGATAGAATTGTGGCTAGCCATGAGAGGAATGATGACATATCAGAGCAAGTGTAGGAATAATTTGATTATCTGTTGGATGTGTGCCATGTGACAAGGTTTAAACATTAAGAAACAGTAATGGGTAAATGAGAATCTGGGGCAGTTTCCAATGTTTTAATTTATATTATAACATTCTTGGATAATAACATAATTACAATAATTTAAAACGGTGCATTCTTTTTGGAAGATCCTGTATACACATAGGAGAACAATTGCATAAAAACCTTAATGATTATTAGAATGAAAAAGGTAAAAACATTTACTAATAGTTTAGTCCAAGTTTTGTGGATTACACGAGATATCTTCCAAAATCTTTAATATTCTTTTATGCAATTTACTTTATATGTAATAAGCATATACCTGCAATTGTGACAAGACCACATTTGCTGATTTCAATTATATGGTTTCTTGCTATAGACTGCGTATCACTTTTATTAGGATCTATTACCAATGGACGAATACCTGACCAGGCACTTAGTACATCACCTCTCCTAACTTTAAAAAGTTAAAATTATATAAATGAATATAATTTTATTATGTTATAGTTCTTAAAGGCATTTATTACTAAAAAAGTCATAATTGATTGTTGTTTATGAAACAAATATTAATACCCATAATATCTTCACTTAAGTATCCCTTAATTTCACTTAATATGAACTCAATATCTTCTTCAGTTGGTGCGGGATGATGAGTTACTTCAGTCGGATGATCCGTAGTACCTAAGAAAGCATCAGTTTCACTGCATTAATTGTTGAATTTCAGTAAAATCTTATCAAATAGCATACCTGCAATAGTATGTTTCTCCCAAGGAAGAAAGAAAATAACACGGCCGTCTTTGGTTGAAGGATCCAACAATCCCATATTGGTAGGACTTAAAAAAAACAAAATTACATAAAATTTTAATAATTTGTATAAATAAAAATACAGAATCAATACTAATTCAATAGTGCACCATAATTAATGCCATAAAGTTTATTTATAATTTGATATTAAACACTCACTAGTAAAAAGCATAGTATGCAAATTGAATAAAAATATTTTAAATATAATATGTAGGAGTTAATGTTTCAGCTTTTTTTAATAATGTATTTTAAAACCAATTATCAAAAGCCAACATTATTCTAGTCAGTTAGAAACCAGCATAAGTAAGAAGTCATTCTACTACCACGAGGGATTCTGGCTCCAAGTCGTCATAACTTATGGCTAGTACAGGTCAGGCTATTGTATTCCATCTCTCACTTATTCTGACTAAATCCAATGTAGATTAGGTCCTCTAATAGGTATAAATGATCTGCTACATTGCTTTAATGTATTTTAATGTACTTCAAGTTTAAAATAAGATCTGTTTATTTGTTAAGTATAAGTCTTACTATACTAGTCTAAGTTCAGTTTATATATATATATATATATATATATGTACGAGGGCTGTTCAAAAAGTATCGGACCTTTGGTCCTCAAAAATACATTTATTGATTTTGAGGTACAAAACCCTAATCCCCTTCAAAGTAGTCTCCTTGGTAGTGTATACACTTCTCCCAGTGTTCCTGCCATTGCTGGAAACACCGCTGGAACGCATCTTTTGGAATGGCCATCAGCCGGTCTGTCGCATTCTGCACGATGTCTTCTCTCTACTAAAATCGGGTTCCTTTTAGCAGCATTTTCAGCTTGGGAAATAGCCAAAAGTCACATGGAGCCATGTGGGGAGAGTATGGAGTGTGACGAACCACAGGAGTGTTGTGTTTGGCAACGAAAGCCTGAATCAGATGCGCAGAATGGGCAGATGCGTTATCACGATGGAGCTGCCAAGTTTTGATCGACCACAGATCCAGTCGTTTGCGTTGCACAGCATCGAAAAGACGACAAGGACCTCCTGGTAGTACTACTTTGCAATGATTTGGCCTTGTGGTGCATACTCACGATACACCACCCCACGAGAGTCGAGAAAACTGTCAACATGATCTTGATATTGCTGTGGATCTGCCACGCTTTTTTTGGCCTCGAGGATTGTCTCCTAAAGCCTGCTGAATCTTGCGAATGGTTTACGCTTGGGTATCGCCAAGGTTTTTGACAAAATTTGATGTAATATCGCTGCTCACGTTGTTCAGTCATTTTCCAACTTAGTGGAATCCGACGAGAGCTCACTACATATCCTCACTCATAGGCCGACTGCCAATGACTGACGCTTCCTGCAGGCGGGAAAAAATTCAGGGCTGTGCACGACTGTCCCCTCCACAACTCCACCGAAAGAGGCCTCCTGCGCATCATTGGTTTACGCGGAAAAAATAAAAGTCCGATACTTTTTGAACAGACCTCGTATATACACACACACAATATACAGTATAGGATAAAATACAGAGATATTTTCTCTGCTTTCCTGCAATTAACTAAAAAACACCAGAAAATAGCGAATCTCGCTACTAGGGATTAACAATTCTCTTACTTTTAACATTTTATTGTATAAGACTGGTTATATATTTTGACACTGGTATTTCTGGTTGGTAGTAAAGCATGAGTTTTGAAGCTAGGTTTGTTCTGTCCATGTAATATTAGGATAGTTCTTGTTGTAACTCTTAAGTAAAAACTTAAATCGTAGAATTCAAAATAAGAAAATCCCTAAATGAATTCCTTTTTCAAACACCGTCTCTGTATGACTACCATAACATAGGTTGTTGAATAATTCGGTACATAATTTGGACTTTCTGTTTTATTTGCTTATTTCTAAATCAATAAAGCATAAATATATATCTCTGAACGGAATAACACCAATTTGTGTTATTATCTTTATAATGATTTTGGTTAGATAAATAGTTTGGTTTTCTGCATTTGTCTGTTTCCTGTATGGTTTTAGATGTCTAATAGGATCTATGCTAGTGGTTGAAAGTTGGTTACAATGACATCACACATATTAAAATAAAACGAAGACACCTATGAGATAAAGTTATTAACACAAAGTTATAAAGAACTTTAACTTCATAACAAAGCTAATAATATGAATGGTGACAAATGTAAAAATTTAAATCACAGTAACAATATGCAAAAACGTTTTCTGTAATACTATTGGATACCAGCGGAGATACTTGGCAGCAACTAGAAGTGACAATGACAGCCGAAGCAAGTGATCTCTGTTCAAACGACAAAGGATGTTTGTCAATATGATGCAGAATATTAGAAATTCCTAGAAGATAATGTGTCATGACATCTCATCTGCAGCTGAGTGCAAGAACTGCTAAAGTGCACAAGGCTAATTATTCGTTAAATTATTTTGTGCAACAGGATCTCTTGAAAACAGGAACTTCGATTATTGTCAATAGTATTATACTGGACTCAATAACAGGCTAAACAACAGACTGATTGTAATATATTTAGGTTAAGTTAGTTTTTAATTAAGTTAAGTACTTTTATTTTGTTTATTTTAAATATGTATAAATGTATAAATATATCTGCTTATTTCTGTTTAGTAAATTTGTACATAGGTATAAATATAATGTTACGCGAATATATATGTAACATCATGTAACATCATAATATATATGCAATACTATATGTATCATATAAGTAATATAATATGTACTATAATATGTAACTGTACAGGAAAACTCTCAGCTATGTATCATATGGTGCTGAGAATGCACCAATTGGTGCTAAATAAAGAATATTGAGTATTGAGTAAAGAATATTGAGTATAGGATAGCAGACACCGGTGGGACAAAGAAGTTTGTCTGCTATGCTATTCAGAGGTACATGCTGATGGTATACTATATCTTAACCTGGTCATCATATAGTGAAGAATACAATGAATTATGAACACATTCCTAATACAAATTTGATGTTAATATAGCAAAAAGGATATGTAGCATATAAAATTAAAAAATATATATATATATACACACAATATATTTTTTTTTAGCTGTAAAAATCTCGTTTGAATGCCAAGTTACAAAGCTGATTTGCTATCCACTTCAAAGGATGGGAAAAATATTCAGAATTGTTACATTTATATCATCATTTACAATCAAGTAATACAAAGATTTGTCTGCTCTCTAGTTATTGAATAGGTGTAACTTGTAAAACATTTTTGCTTTTTCAGTAACTGGTTTATTAAAAATTACACTTTAGCCACCACAAACAGTTATGACAAGAGTATTTGTTTGGTGAAATTTCAAAGGTCATGTTATGAAAGCGATTTACCAACCACTTTTAAGTGTGGGAAGATATTCAGTTTTCTTGCATTTATGACGTCATTATGATCTTATGTTTCTTTTTCATTACTACTGACTATGGTTCTTGTTGAATGAATGAATAACTTTAAAAAAAGTTTAGTTTTTTGGTATCATAAGTTTAATTCCACAATAAGACAGAAATTTAACAACATTAATATGTATAACGATAAATGGTAATTGATAACTTAACCAGATTAAACTTATCTAACAGAAAAATAATATTGCTTTTTACAACATGCTCTCCTCCCCTATTCCTATTTTAAACTAGTCTTTATTTGATGCCTTTGATTAGAATTTGTCATCTGAAAGAGTATTTGAACCAATTCTTTGTTTTTATTTTAAAACATTTTGTACAAAATTAATTCTTTCAGAACATTGAAGGCAAGACATTGCATTTTTGTAAGGTTTGTAATGGATGACAGCATCTATTATTTAAAGATATACATAATAGATGTCCTGTTTGAAGGGTCTGGGAATTGTAAAAATGTCTGTTAAGTATAGGTGTCTGCTATTCAGGAGTGTCCATTAATGGAGGTTTCACTGTATATTATTATATTTATCCCTGCTTGTTGCTTATAAAGTTTAGTAAAATTATTCATTTCACTTTTCCAAGTTTGTTCTAACATTACTGTTAAGTAAATCAATTGCAAATACAGTAGACCACCTATAAAACAGGTTCATATAATTCGAATTCGTATATAATGGCGAAAAAATTGGAACCGTATTCGTATAAACATGCTAAAAGAGACTCGGATAATTTGGTAAAACGTCATCGCCAACTCGTGTCACGACAGGATTGGTCGAATCTAGACCAATAGCAGATATTGAACAAACCATTGAGTTTAAATGAGCAGTGGACCTACTAAAAGCCATTTATTATTTAATGTCCATAAAAATTATATTCCTATTAATGATGTCTCCAAAGTTCAGCGAATTTTTCGCAGAAAAATAATTTATCAGGAAACACGTGCTGCCCGTTCAATGTGCTGCTCCATGATGAAAACAAGTTTAAGCAATGGCATCATCGAATGTTGCACACTCAGTAAGTAATCCTACAATTTTTTGTTTATAGCATAGTTTATATAAATTATTCCCAAAAAATTATGTGTGTTTTGGAAATGTTGAGTCAAATTAGTCTAGAATCGATTAATTTTATNTATTATAAATCAAAAACAATGTTAACATTTCAAACAAATTTTATACAAAAATAAAACCTTGCACAGGACAGATGAAAAGCTAGTTATAACATTGAATTTCAAACCTCTTTTTTTCTACTATAACATTTTTAAAGAATAATAATTTTATAAAACAATAACAATATATTATGAATTTTATGTAATAACCTACCTGTAATATTCAGGAAGTGTGATGTGAACTCCAGAACTTGGTTGACATATACAGGATAGTGAAGGATTGTCCATGTGTCTTATTCTGTCGATAAATGGGCCAGTTGCATTGATGACAGTTTTGGCACGGACATTAAATTCTTCTCCTATTTGTCATAAAAAATTTAAATTATCTTAATTTTGATAGTGCCACAATCTAGCAGCAGAAGCCTACTACTTACATTAAAACTCACCTGTTAAAATGTCTACGCAGTGAACTCCACATATTTTATCTTTGTCATCGCAATCCTTTGTTTTATTTATTCCAGTGACCATAACATGATTTGCTAGGGTAGCTCCATACTTTATTGCAGTTAAAGCTATGGCCAAATTCATACGAGCATCATTGTGCTGGCCTGTAATGCATACAGATATTTCTAAAATTAGTTTTAAATGATTAGTCTTTCAATAAGTCAGGTTTTTTTGCATTCAGTCATAATGTTAAGGATTTTAAATAAATTACTTAAAATTTTTAAATAAAAACAAACTAATAATAATAAAATTTAACATTTTTAAATTATAAAAGGCATTTATTACTATAAAAAAACACATTAATTTATATTAAAAGCTTGCACAAATATAGAAAAACACCAAAATAAATTAAAGAGGTAATTTATTAAATTTTTTTATAAAATGAAACTAAAGTTGCAAAGTCAATTATTATATCTTCAACTTTGAATTGAATTAATTATATTTTATCAAACTTATTGCAGTAAAACAGTTTAAAAAAAACACCAGAGCTTTCAACATACACATTGTTGCCTTCTGATGATGTGTATCATTTGAAAGTTTGTTTTTTCTTAATTAAAAAACTCATATATCAGTTTTAATTGGATCCATTTGTAATGTTCCTTATAAAAACTTTGGACTATGAGAACAAATTTGAAAGAAATCATCTTACATGATATATTACAAGATTTCCACTAAAAATTTAAAAACAATTTATTAATGAAGTTATTACCATCATAATAAACAATTGCTCCAAAAAGTTTTTCCTTCTTTAACATAGGAAACAAATTTAGTGCTTTGCTTCTGCTTAAATAATAGCTGGAATCCAGTCGACGATTTCCGGCGACAAAATCGTAAACTTTGATGCCAACCCAATAGTAGGGTACTTGCCACCACCTATAATATAGGGGGGGGTCGACTGTATATTTTTATAGTTTAAGGAGTTGATATTGATTTTTCTATTATTGACTAATAGATATAATTCATAAATATTTTGACTATTCATTCTATAAACAAAGATTATTCAAATTATCAAAACTTCCAAAAAATTTTATTCAAATTGTAGAACATCTTTTTGTGATCAATCACAAACTATTAAAAATTAAGCAAAACCATTCACCAATGAGTAAATTTATTTGAATCTATCCTATATCAATTTGTTAGCATATTTCTAGCTCTCAAATATGAAAAAGTAATTCAATTAATAAGTAGTCTAATTAAATTTGACTAATCTGTTTTTGTTTAAATGAAATTAATCATGACAAGTTTAAACATACAATGAGATTTCTTACAACAAGATCTTTGTTACAAATGAATTATTCAATCTTTGAACAAAATTTTAAACATGATTATAAATTAGAGATATTCTGCTTCTCTTTTCAACTTAATTGCAAAAGCAAGGTTATAAAGCTTACATATATTACATAAGAAAAAACCAACGTTAATACCCATAACATTGTCTTCACTGTTGAAGATTGATAAAGGCATTATGGATTCAAATCTTGGAACTTGCAAATCTTTTATAGTAGTATAAAATGGATATGTCAGGTCTCATTCCTCAACATTTAGATAACCCCATTTGAATAAAACCTACTCATGATGGACAAAAATCAAGGCTTATTGATGTGTTCATTTAAAATAGTTATTGATTTCATTTAGTATGACTTGATATCTTCTGTTTAATGAAAAAATTAGTGTTTTGATGAAGAGTAATATCTACAAATGCAAACTAATACAAAATATGTTTTTCTAATATTTTTTTTTTATTAATTTTAATACTCTCATACAAATTTATATATTATAACAATTATTAACAACTGAAACGCTTAAAAAATAATAAAAATAAATAA